TGGCAGTAGCTGCGCGAAGTGGTTGTTTTTGACAGCGACTGAGTTACAAAATGAAATTAAAAGCCTGTTGTTGCCGAAACTTAGTGCTGTGAATGAGACTTCAGGGCGCATAGAAAGGCTGAAGGTGGCTTTTAATTTTTGTTTATTCTTGGTTTTGCTAATTTCTTCTCGCTTGTTCTTTAGGTCATGTGTTCTTGGAAAGTTTTCTTGCTTTTTGCCTTAAGCACACACATTGACTCTAGGTAAATTAAAATTTTACTCTGGAAGGATATCAAGGAATTGCAGTGTAGTACAGTTCCAGACATGAGCACTGAATTTTTCTTTGTACCATATTTTTACTTAGGGTTGATGACAGTTTTCTTTGGAAGGGAAAGAATTCTGAGCAAAAGCATGTATGGATGTTTTTTCCATGCCTTCTTTGGGCCTTGACTGTATTTCTGTAAAGCAAGCACTTAAAAGTCAGGATTGAAATTTCTCATCTTTAACTACCCTCTGGAATATATATTTGCTGTCAGTGATACCCTTTAGACAACATTGTGTGTTTTAATGTGACTTTTTTTTCCTCTCAAAGGTGGTGAAAAAGAAAATACCAAGATGAGTAAAAAGCCTCCAAATCGTCCTGGAATCACATTTGAGATTGGTGCTCGTTTGGAGGCACTGGACTATTTACAAAAATGGTATGGAAGACACTGCAGTTTTTGCTGAGATCATGATTGTTTTGTGTACATTGTGTGTTTTGATATTTGGTTTTTAAGGTTCATGCACTTACTGTCTGTTTCACTTGTGAGTTTCATGAGTTTTTCACATCAGTCTGTTAAAACCATTAGCTTTTAACCATTAGCTTTGAGTTTAGTTTGATTCTTTCTTCAGGAATCAAACTTAACTTTCCTGTGGGTTTCTGTTTGTTTGCTCTTAGTGGCTTGTGCAGCTGTAGTGATCAAAGAGCATTTCTGGAGCAGTGGTGTGGCTGAGGTGATCAGTGTGTCAGTGTGGCAAACTTCTGTGATCAGAGACTTCTGTTTTAATTTGAGGTCATGTGAGGAAATTGTTCTGTATTCAGTTATGATGTTTCATAGGTTCACAAAACTGGTTTAAAAAAACCCCTCAAAACATCCTTAATTAAAAGTTCATGCATTAGGCCAAGTACAGTTGTGTTTGTATCAAACAGCTGGAGGAGTGAAGTGCTTAAAACTGTAACTCTGCAACCACCCAGGTATCTTGTGAGTTCAGAGACTACCAAATGGAAATCTGTGGGCACAAGGACCATGCTGCACAGCGTGTGTGTTGTGAAAGGAGCTGTTCTTATGAAAAAAATCAGTCGAAATTTTATTACAGCCAGTGGGCTGATTTGATGATGTGTGCAGGCCATGCTAGTTCAATTTGGAAAATCCCTGGTTTTGTTAAAGTAGATGATAGAAGAAGTTGATGCTTCTAAGCAGAAGTTTCTTCTTAGCTCTCAGATTTATTTGGGCTGGCAAATGTAGAGGTGTGTAGCTGCTTTTCTGTTGCACTCCTGGAGAGCTCAGCATGTCCTGTGAATATCTGATCCTGTTAACTCCAGGTGATGTGAGGGAGAAGTCTGTGTTTGCTCCAGTAGTTTTATGTTCTGTATAAAAAGTTGGGTCAAACTTTTTATTTGTAGCAAAAGTGTTTGTTTTATTAAACGGTGTCTTAAAGGACTTGGTTTACAGAACAGTTCTAGCTCTTACCTGTTGCTGTAGAGTGGGTTTTCAACATGCTGATTCTGTAACTGCATGCCAAGATCACGAAAACATCCTAATGGTGGTGTAAAAATTATTTCAATGGAGCTTTTATTAGTATCCTCTGTAACTAGAGATAACTGGTTAATTATAACTAGGTAGCAAAAATTAGTATGTTACAATAGCTTCAGCATAATTGCATCAAAAAATATCACTGTATATGCAGTGTATAGTTTGTTTCAGATCTGCTCAGCCTTTTCCCAGGGAAGGGTCACATGTCAGCTCTGGAGTTCTTGTCTAGGTTTGGGTTGTCAGGCATAGGCCATGTCACAAGCTCTGCAGCTGAGTTGCTGTGTGTTTTTGGGAAGAATAGAATTTATCCTGAAGTTTCTAGGGATTGATTCATCATCTGTACTACCAGGTAGAACAAGTCAAGCTTATGTGCACGTAAACTTTTGTCATGCCACATACAGGAGGAGGGAGTTAATAGTAAAATGTTGCAGTTGCAGCAACACTGAAAACAGGACTCGATTTCCAATGAAATAATATATTCTCGTACAAAAGCAAAGAGCTTGTCACAGAGTCTACCCTTGTGTTTTTATTAGGGTGACATGGGTTGCAATAATAGTGCAAGAAAGTGCAAAAATAGATTTTTTTCTCCTTAGCTTTCTGTTGCATAAGGGGGGGGTGGATGTTTTTGAAATTCTTTCTATATATAAAATCTGTATTCATTCCCCTCATTTGCATGCAGAAATACATCAGACAAAATAAAGTTGCTGAACTTACATGAAACCTCTGTATTTTTTAACAAAAGCTAAATTGAAGAGCTTAGCTCAGGCTTTCTACAAGCGACAAATTGAGGACACTTGCTGAAAAATAGCCTTTGAAAGGGTTTTAAATTTTTTACCCGTTTTTCTGAAAGCTTGCTGTCATTTAAAGATCCAGTGTTCATGGCCAGTTAAAATGTTAATCAAGAAAGGCTTCTAGAGGATGTGGGGAAAAAAGACAGTAAAGTATGTTTTTTCTTTCTGAGACATTTTGGCAGGTCTTAAATTTTCAGCCGTGTAGTAGTTGCTGAAATTCATCTTATGGAATCTGGTGTTCTCCTTACATTCTGTAAACTTTGGAGTGGGCATTGTGTACCTTGGCTATTTACTACTTAAAACCCCCTGTACTTCTCAATGAGGAAGTTTTTGCAGACAGTTGGTTGGGTCACTGGTATCATTTGTCCTATACTGTGACAGGGTAGAAGAAAGCCTGGTCAAACTGGTCAGCAAAGACAGGCTGTCAGTGAGTGTGTTTGTTTTTGCTTTATTGTGGAGGCAACTGCAATTGCTGCTTTCTCAAGTGCAGCAATTGTGCTGTTGCAGTGGAGGTCACCTTACACAATGAATTTGTACTGCTTGTTAACCTTTAAATTCACTAAAGCAAATGGTGAAATGAAGCTCTGATTAAAATCCATGTGATCATCTGTCAGCAGATAGTAAATGAATGGGATTGAAAATTATGAAGTAGAAAGCTTATTGAACGTATGATATGATTAGGGGCCTGGGGTGTACAGCCTGTGAGGAGAGAGAGAGGTAACTGGACTTGTTTAGCTTGGAGAAGGCTTCAGGAGACTCACAGCAGCCTTCCAGTGCATTCAGGTGTGTCATCAAGACTTACTTAGCCAAACTCTACAGGTGGTTAGAAGACAAGAAACAACAGGCATGAGTTGAAACAAGAGATTCAGACTAGGTACAAGGAGAAGCTTTTTCCCCATGGGCTGTGTCGAGCAGTGGATCAGGTTGCCCAAAGCATTTGTGGAGTCTCCAGCATTGGAGATTTTCAAGAATGGTATGGATAAAACACTGGAAAACCTGTCCTGATGCCACAGCTGACCCTGCTTTGAGTGGGAGGTTGGACTAGAGGCTTTCTGAGGTCTCTTTCAACTTGAATTATCCTGGGATCTCATACACAGTCCTGGTACATGTGCACACTCCCCTCTTCCTCTCACTGCCAAAACAAATGGAACAGCAGAACTGCACATACCTGCAGGAGCATGGCTGTGTGTAAGACAGCTCAGGAGCTGTCAGCTCCCACAAGTAGTGCTCTGTCCCTGCAAAGCTGATGCATTTAAAGATGCATCTCTCTTTTCTGTTTTCATGTGTTTTTTGTGGTTCTAGCTTTCTTCTGGTTGTCCTGGAAGCAGCAGATACTGCTTGGAAAGAAACAACATTTGTTTTTCTGAGGCCGTAGTCTTTATTAAGTTGATTGATCTAGAGTAGAAGTTAGGTGATGATGGAAGTGCAGATACATGGCCCTTGGTGCAGTTCTGGAATGGAAACAGCTCACTAAAACTGGTTGCTTATCAGAACAACAGCACTTGCCCTTGGTTTATTTAAGTGTCTGGATGGATTAATTTATTTTTTCCCCCGGTATGGAGGAAGCTTTTTCCCTGTAAGACTTTGGAAAGTCTTTCTTGGTGCAATCCTGGTTTTGGTTTTCAGTTGGCTGGTTATTTGAAAGGACAGTGAAGACTCTGGTTTGTACTGATTTAATACAGTATATATATAAAGAGTGGGGACTTAGAAACGTGTTTGCAGATTTTGTAGATCCCAGAATACAATTTGTGAGAAGTCAGAATGTGGGGTATGTAGTTTCATATCCTCTACGAGGTAGAAGGAAACACATTTTATATCAGTATTGTGAAGGCAAGAAGTATGTGGCTGCTTGCAGACTTTATAGCTGCAGACTTGGGCAAATTTACTTTTTGCATCTTTTCTTAGAGTTTGAAATTCCTATTGTCCCATTTCACAGGGCAATTCACCACTTTTTGGTCACTTTTGAAGGCTCAAAAGGAAGATTATGGCATCTGTGTGGCTATTAATATGTATTAAGTGCATTGGAGAGAATAGTTTGGGTCAGATTTTTTTCTGTCAAGAAATGAAAACAGGAAGTTTTCCATTCATTTTTCCTGTGTGTACATTAGGGCATTATTGTTGTCTGACCAGTGCTTCATAGTGTAAGTTTTGTGAGCCATATTAAATTTTGAAGCTTTGCAAAAATATTGCATAATTCTCATGGATCGGAATCACCAAGATTGGAACCTGAGAATGGAGAGCATGCAGTGTGTAAAATGGGAAGATACCATCAGCTCACAATAGTTCTCCTGTTCTCTCTTAAAAAACAGGAACAAACCCCCCTGAAATCTGGATAAAACAACATTTGCAATTATTAGGTACTCTTTCCAGCATCCTGTTAAACACACCCAAATTCGCAGGTTATTGTTGTCTCTTACTGAAAGAACATGTGTACTGAATTTCAGTTTGCTGGTCTGTTGGGGGTTTTATTGTGAAAAGTAAAGACTTATCCCTCTTTTAGAGTGTGTTTTTCTGATTTGTGCTGGACAAATACTGGAAAATCTATTTGTATATCAGATTCCTTCTGATCCCTTAGTGTGGAGAACTTGCTGAGGGAGTGAACCTGATTGTAAGGTTGTTTTGGCCTTAGACATTGTTTGCTTTGGTACACTAAAGAATGATGTTTGTATCCCCCTTTGTAGTATTTCTTCAAATGACTCCTCATGGCTTTGCAATGGAAGGAACTTCTCACACATGTGAAATTTTATGTAGATGTAAACATCTTCATGTATCCCTTTTTCTACACAATAAATATAAACATTACTCTTGGCCTAGGTAGAATCTTTCCTTTCTGCATTGTTAACACAATGCTTTAAAAAGACATGATAAAGTTTTATGTTGTCATTTTATGTCGTATTAGTAGGAAATATACACTTCCTTGAAATATTTGTATAATTTTGCGATTTATAAAATTGAGTATTTTCAGTAAAATAAGCACAAAAACTGACACCAGAAGGATGTTTCTGTGCAGTGTAAAATGTGCAGTAGTGAATTCTGCAATACGTGTGCTCTGCTCTTTTCCACTGTGGGATCAGTATTGTGAAACATTGCTGTCTGTACATATTTGTGGCACACTGTGTGGCTAAATTTAGTGGATATGGAGGGTTATAGCTTGTTGCTAAATCCATACAAAGTTATGTTTGGGTTGCCTAATAAGCAATCATGCATGGCTTGGATGGTTCTGTCTCTGAGGAGTGGAGTTGAATGCAGTTCTGGCTCTGTTCATCTTGCAGTCACTCGCTTAATATACATTGGAGGAACATAAATTATGGGAATAAAGCCATATGTGATATGGTTATTATGATATTTAACTGTGCAAAACCAGTATCATGGGCTTTAATAAGACTTTAATAGCAGAAATTGTGTTTATCAAAGAGAAATTAACCAATAAGTACCTTGTGCTGCGTTTCCTCTCTAGAGTGATCTCTAAACAGGCTTAATATTTTGCATGTCTTCCCTTATTAATTGATGCTAGCTTTGCTCTCTGTTTTCTGTATATACTAATGTCTTTATTCTTGGCCTGATGAATTTTCTTTTAAACTAACTTTGTTTTAAAATATTTGTCTCTAAGCTGTGCTCTGTATTTTATTTTCCCCTCTTACTCGGCTTTCTCTTTCTAGGACAATGTATTGTATTTTCCTTGTCTGTCCCTTCTGTTGTCTCCTCACACAGTGTTTGGAATGGTGACTTGGCTGCTGCCAGTGAAAGCTTTCAGCCCTAACAAGGGAACTGCTATAGGGTAGTGCCATAATGGGAACAGAGTGTTTGCACCGGAAATGTGTAGGAAAAGGAGAGTTCTGTCTTTAGCTGATTGGCCCTGAATTTTGTAAAATAACCATAGTTTTGACTCACTGGCTGCCTGGCATGTGATAAACCTAAAATCTGTATCTACTGAGAAAGAGAACCACCGTTCTTGGCTCCCACTCCATTCCTGCAGTACAGGCTCTCCTTTTTGGTTGCTACAAAGTAAACTTCCCATCCTTTTCTGATGTTTTTCCTCCCTTCCCTCGGTTAAATGCTTTGTGTCATCCTTTGCCTGGGAACTCCTCTAGGTAACATTGCTACACGTTTGCTCTAGTAACAGTAACTTTACTGTGCTTTGTTCCTCTTCCTCCTTATTCTAAGGCTTCGTGTCTAGTTTTAAGACATCTGAAACTGTAACACTCAAGAAGATGAAAAAATTTTGTAAGAAATTTTATAAAAAAAATCCAAAAGGTAGCAGCATATGGGCTTAAAAAGAAAGTATCATCAGAGGCAGGACTTAGGAACACCATCTCTCTTCTCTTGAAGTCTTACTCAAAGTCAAACCAGAATGCTGCTGATGGGATTCAGGTTTTGACCTGAGAGTTTTGCTTTCTGTTCTGATGCAGTAGACCATCAGCTTCACCAGTGGTGTTAGATTGTTGTTGTGAGTCCACTTGAGAGGGGAGAGGAGGATCAATCTTGTTTCTCTGGAAGAAAACTCATGAAGTGTCTTGAAATTTTTTTCTTTTATTATGATTATTAGAGTGGCAAATGAGAGCCTGCAGTTTTAGACTAAGACTTTGTAGGCTTTTTTTAAAGTTCAGTCGTAAGAAGTTGGGAAGTTAATGGTTATGAAAATACTTTGCATTTTTGAGATGTATGGATGAGAGAAATGCAACAAGAGCTTGGACTGTCTGTGAATTCTGATGTGAAGGTGAAATGGGCCTGCAGCAGTAACCTAGAAAATTGGAGGGAGTTCTTAATCAGCACCTCCTGAGATATTTAAATGCTGGGAAACTGCATAGTCACTGCAGTTGAACTGGAGAAAGGAAGGTGCAAATTGAGATTGACACCTTTTGTTTTAATGCTCTGTTCTAGTCACCAGTAAAAAAGGGAAGCCTGTGCTTCCTGCAAATGTATTTTTTAATCAGAACATAGTGTCAGAAACTCCTTTAATAGCGCAGTCAGTATTTTGGAGAGAAAATACTCAGAACTGGTAATGCTGACAGGGTTCCTGTATATGTCGGTCACACTCCTAAGCTGATGGAATTTGCAGCAGGACTGGAAATTGGTCTGTTCTCTTACTATTGCTCCACAGCAGCACTTGTCAAGAAAACAGGTTGCAAAAGTTAGTCCTCTTGCTGTGGTCTCTCTTTTCAGCACATGCTTTATTAACTTTAGACCATCCTAATGTAAACTCTGGTAAAATAATTAGTGATCTAGTTAACTTTTTTTGTTTTAGGAGGTTCTTGCATTTTTGAATCTGTTTCAATACTTCTGTGAAGGGCAGAAGGAGCTGAATTTTGCCTCTTTCCAGTTTTCACTGATGTGTATAAATTCTTGAACTAATTGTTATCCTATCAATTTAGTACCTTAATCTTTTTCAGACTTGGACAGTTCTCAGTACGAGGTGTTAATATAACTTTCTGAATGGCCATGTCAGCATTGCTTGTTTCTTTTCTTCGATATAACCTTTGAGATTTATCAGTTTCTGTTTATCATTTGAGGTATCCATCTCGTATTGAGAAGATAGATTATGAGGAGGGAAAGATGTTGGTCCATTTTGAACGCTGGAGTCATCGCTACGATGAGTGGATTTACTGGGACAGCAATAGGTTGCGACCTTTGGAGCGACCAGCACTGAGGAAAGAAGGGCTGAAAGATGATGAAGAATTTGTTGTAAGTGGCACATTTATTTTTCTTTGACACTTTTGTAGACTGTCCTACTTGTTTTCGTACATTAAATCTCTCTAGGACATAATGTTTAATTCTTTTTAGGAAAACGTCTAAGCTGTTTAAATATTAATGACTGAATTTGTGTAAAATAGGATTTTAAGCCTGGAGAAGAAGTCCTGGCTCGTTGGACAGACTGTCGATATTACCCTGCAAAGATTGAAGCCATTAATAAGGAGGGTATGTATGCATGTGTGGCTCATTGCTGAGGTCTGTTTGCACATGCTGTGCTGTAGATTTAGGCTGATTAAAAAAGTTATGTACCTAATAAATCTTCCTTGCTGCCTCAGTATTACGTGAAGAGCAATGAGGCTGGTGAAGGGACTGGAGCACAAGTGCCATGAGGAGAGGCTGAGGGAGCTGGGGGTGTTCAGCCTGGAGAAGAGGAGGCTCAGGGGAGACCTCATCACCCTCTACAACTCCCTGACAGGAGGTTGGAGTCAGGTGGGGGTTGGTCTCTTCTCCCAGGCAACCAGCAGCAGGACAAGAGGGCACAGACTCAAGCTCTGCCAGGGGAGGTTTAGGTTGGATATTAGGTTGGATTTTTTACAGAGAGAGTAATCAGACAGTGGAATGGGCTGCCCAAGGAGGTGGTGGATTCACCATCCCTGGAGGTTTTCAAGCTGAGACTGGATGTGGCACTTAGTGCCATGGGCTAGTGACCATAACGGGGGTAAGGGTTGGACTTGATGATCTTTGAGGTCTCTTCCAACCCCATTGATTCTATGAAAGTGTTTGTCTTTGTCAGATTTAGCAAAAGCTTTGTCTTTTATCCATGTGAAATTTGAAAATTGGAATTTCTCCTAGAAGACAAAATATTAAATGTTTTGTCAGTGATGAAAAGATCCTGTGCAGAGTGTCATGAATATTTTGTGCTATTATTCATTGGCGTTAATGATCAATTTAAACTTTTAACATTGGTTTAGTTCTGTTTATTAAAGAAAAACATTGGAAGTGGGGAAATAAAGGAACGCTTTAGATAAAATACTTCACAGTGGTGATATTTCTAATGAACATAGGTTGAAGTTTTTACTGTAGTTTAAAGCAAATGAGGATTTGGTCGTAAATTGAATTGTTTCCCTAGTGTGGTTCCTTAAATATTAGATAATTCTTTCAATGAATTATGAGCAAAAGTGACTCAATAGCTTAAACATGCTTGAAATTGTCCAAGTGTACAAGGAGCAGCAGTGTTAAAGCAAGGCCTCATTGAGGCTGTCATTTTTTTTCTTAAAATTCTCAGTTTCCTGACAGTTGGTAACACCTGGTTGCTCTGTTCACACAGCCCAAATATGTTTTGCGAAAGCTTTCATAGTAACAAAGTGAGTTTGTTTCTTAAATGCTCATAGTGATTACCTCAATCATTTTCTAGGAACTTTCACAGTACAGTTCTATGATGGTGTCATTCGATGTCTTAAAAGGATGCATATCAAATCTATGCCAGAGGATGCAAAAGGGCAGGTAAGAGTACTTCAGGTATCTCTTTCCTAGGTGTTATGTAGTTTGGTGTTTGGTTTTTTGTTTTCTTTTCTTTTTGGATTTTTTTTTTAAATATCTTGAGATAGTAGAAGTGTCATCTAGCACAGTTAGTTTTAGATTGCAGTCTTTATTCCAGGTCCTGCACTGCCTTGCTTCACCAGTTCGTGGATGATGCTGCAGAGTGTGCTGCTCAAGTAGCCTTGCCTCTCTGAATGCCTGGCTGCTGGACTCTCCATTGCCAACTAATCTCTTCCTAGAGTCTTGTTTTGCAGAGTTTACAAAACCAGGGGCACCCAGTGACCTTTTCCTCTGGTATCCTTTCAGGAAAAAGCTTTAGCTTGTCAGCAGTTTGTGCTGCTGAATTTTTAATTTTACTTATTCCACCCTGTCTCTTTTGTTTGCTACTGTGATAGCTTTTGGCCCACGGGTTCTTACCAGCATGACTGGGGGGGTTTCCCTTGAATGAGAACAGACATAAGTATTTCTTGTATCCAGTTGCTGTTAAAGAGGAGATGCTGAATAGAAGTTGAAGGAGACTGAAGTAGAGGACACTATTTAGTCACTAGACATATCTTTCCTTGCAGAAGGAAAAGAACATTGAAAACTGTTACATGCTTCTAGTGGAAATGCCATTGCATTTATCTTGCATGGTAACTGTCTTTTAATAGTTAATGAGAAGTTTCTCCACTGAAACTATTTGAGAAAAAAACTCATGAAACTGCTCTTTACTTCCTCTCAGTTTACTTCAGAATACTCCTAACTTGGCAAACAAAATTCAGATATTTCATAATTACTGTTGTAACCATCTGTATTGTGACAGGGCAGATGGATAATTGAATTGGCTGAAAGCATCTCCATATCCTGTCCAAGGTACAGGTAGCTGTGTACTATGCAAATGACATTAGAACTTTGGGCAGACACCACTGCACTATTTAAACAGTGCTTACTTAAGGAGATTTAACTGAAATCTGTAGTCACACCAGCCTTGGCTTCCTGCTGCAGTCTTACACTAACTCTGTTGGGCCACTGTGTAGTGTTTCAAACAACATTTTCAGTGGGATAGTAAGTTAGGAAGCTAAAGTGTTTCATTTTACCTTATACAAAGCAAAACTTGGGTAATGTGGTTTGACTGAAATGAAATAACCCTTTTGTGACAGTGTATGTAAAGAAGTCCCTGACTCTGTCCTGTGTGTTTTCTAGGGAGTGTCTAATCTTGAGGTACTACTCTTAGGCCACAGGCATTTGCAGCTTTAAAACAAAGAGTAAAGCCATTTCTTCCCAACCATTATGTCATCCAGATGTGCTTGGTGTCAGTCCAGCTCATCTATTACTTCTAGTTTTTCTCAGTAGTTGAGAGTTATGGCGCCACTCAGGCATTTCATGGGCTGAATGTAGGCTGCTTCAATGGCATAAGGGGGACAAATTTGCACTTTCTCATATGGATTTACAGTTTTTAAGTTGTCTGAAGCAAGAACACCACCAATTGTACTTTCTATAATGCTAATTGATACTAGTTGTAGCATTTAACTTTGCAAAAATAGAAATAAGCATGAAGATCTGGGGCTTTCAACAGCAAAGATGGAACTTTGTGCTGGAACATTTCTCCTGTATCATACTATGGTGGAATATTTGTTTCTCTAAATATTTTTGTGTTACTTGCTAATAAAAACATGGTCTAAGATTTGGTTTGAAAATCAGTTATCTGAAACTGAGCTTTGTCTCAGCCCAAAACTCAAATGGATGTTTTCTATCTTTTGCATTATTTATTTTGTGAGAAAACATTTACTAAAATTTACATAAATCTTAAAAATATGCCAAGACTATAAATTGATTTGAAAAATACTAGAGTTGTCAGATTCAACACTTCATGCTTAATTTAAACCTATGAATTATTTTTGTCTGTTTCCAAAAGGAAAAAAAATAATTCAAGAGATGAGTGTAAGCCTAAGATACTTTGTTCTAGTGCATCAGCAAATTTAACAAATGTAAGATGTTTTTGGAAGGTGAGTGCTCAGTGTACAGAATTTGATTGGCACAGAGATATTAATTATACTTTGAGCTTAGCGTGACTCGAAGGAAGAGATTGTAAACACTGTAACACAAACTATTTTTGAGTTGCAGCAGAAGTGTGCTTTAATAAGACTCAGCTGTAAGGGTGGAAAGGCAAAATTTTTCAAGAGTGGAAAATATTTGTGTGGCTCAATGCAATGAGACTTGAGGTTCGGTTGCTGTGCAGATAAGTGCAAACGAATTGACATCCCACAGATATGTGGCTGATGTAGCACAGAGAGGAAAAAGGGGAATATTGAGACTGCCGTTGTGAGAGCTCATATGAAGTGTTTGGATAACTTACTTTTTCTGTTTCATGTTTTTTGTTTTATCTTCGATGTAATCAGGCGCGCGAGAGGGAGCAGATAGCGCCGGAGCTGAGATTAGTGACGGAAATCGAACCAAAAGAAGTGAGTTTTGAGGAGGGATTTGAAGGAGAGGGAGGGGACTTGGCACACAGGAAGAGGAAGCTGAGGAAAAAGCATGGATTTGCGATTGGGCTAGAGAATAAAAAGATGTGACAGCAGACAATGTGAGCCAAGATGTAGGTGGGGCAGATGGTTTAGAATTGAAAGGTGAGGGTAAGGAGTCCAGGCTTGATGTGGAATCAGCCAGTCAATAGATTGTTTGATGTACGTGCTTGCATGAATGAGTGGGAGTTGGGATGTGCCAGGAGAGGAAAAACAGCTGAATCTTTAGTACTGTAGAGAAACCAAGTGATGTTGTAGGCAGGTGAAGGCAGAACTGTGTGTGTGAATTCTGCTATTGACACAAGGGTTGGATGTTAGAAATTACTCTGGTTTTGCCTTCCCACTGTTGCAGGATTAGGGTTACACAGAGGGATATTTTAAAATGCAAGTGTTGCAGCCAATTGATGTCTAAGGCTGTTGGGTACATTTCTTCTAATGTATTTCTTGATCGTGCAATTTCATGTGTTTTGATTTAGTGAGTCTACTTAGCATAATGACAGTTTTCCTCAGTAGTGATAAAATGTTTTGTTTTCTAACTACAGTGTCCTGTTACTTCTTTCTTGTCAATTTTCTCAGTTTACTTGAAAGATGAATTTTAGTACGACTAAAAGAGGAGGAAATACATGGTTTCTTTTATTCTTATTTTGTATTTTTTAAAAAGTGATATATGTAAATGAGGAATTCACTGGGGAGAGGTGCTGTGGGAAGTGGGAAATCAGGCTGGATGGTGCAGCGTAACTGGTGCAGAGTTACACAACCACAGCCAATGGAGAGACAATGCCAGGACATGAGGGAAAACTTCTCTTGGGAGGATTTTGCTTTTATTAATTTCTAATGTGTTTGGGCCATGGGATTTCTGTATACTGAATGCTCTGGGAAAAAGTCCTGCTATTAAGGATTTGTAACTAGTGTCTGTGATATCTATGATACTCAGTGTCCTGCTCCTTATGGTTGACAGAGAAGATCTCTTACAATTACCCTGAGACAGATTTCAGCATTTACTGTGCTTTAGGCTCCCACTGTTGTTATCCAGTTTTTTATTTTTTTTCTACAAATTCTGAAAAAGACACAAATGTATCTTTTTGAAGGAGAAGTTCCTGTGCTCTTCAAAAGAAAACAATCCCCTTAGCATCTTAGATGCTAAGTAGTTCTCACATGTCAGGTGCTGTGCTGCTGAGCAGTCACTCGGCAGGAGTTCAAGGTTAAAATGCAGGAATTACCTCTGTCACTTTAGTGTCTTTTACTCCAGAGCCAAAATAAAAGTGGACCCTCAGGGTTTCTGACCAGTTCAGAATCACAAAACAGTTGAGGTTGGAAGGAACCTGTTCAGAGATACTAGTTTTTTTCTAGATTAACATGTAAATTTAACCTCATTGAGGAGAACTTTGAGCAGTGAGGGTGGGCAAGATTAATTCACAATAATTAATGTGTCTCTACTCTGGGTTCTGATTGTTTAACATTTGTTTGCTTCATTGTTACATGTCCTGCTACCCTTAGTAAGCTCCATGGTTTAAGTAAGGACAGTATCCAAACAATGAAATGAAATAAAATACAAACAATGTTCATGTTGCACCAAAACAGCTGCTACTAGAACAGTACGCTTGGTTCAGTGTGGTCCTTGAAGCTTGACTTTCCCTTTCAGGGTGCTTAGCGTGACTGGAAGTTAGAATGCTCTTTAGAAGCTATTTTGATCCAAGCTGCACTTCCTTCCCTTCCCTTCCCACTTTTATCTAAGATCCAAACTCCAGCCATGTTACTGATCCTCTTCATCCCCTGGCCAGGGTGCAGTGTAAGACTTCTACTCTCAGGTCTCCTAACTCCTCACCAGCACAAATAGCTCAATCCTTTTTTTTGTCCTGCTGGATGGGCAAGGCTCTGGATGGACTGGAGCTAATGTGTGTGCTCGTTTTGGCTGGCCAAAACAGAGGTATGTGTGCTTTTGATTGACTGTGCAGCTGGCAGTTAGGCATGCTCCTTGTGGCTGGCATGTCTCCAAATGGCCTCAGTAGTTGCCTGTTGTGTGAGCATTGCCAAGGCACTTCCAGACTTTGCTGCTGCTGGCTGGTCTGAATGTGCATCGTGCATTGACAGCATGGACATGGAGCACTTCATCTCAGAGGAATCAAAACTGTTGGTGTTTCTAAATATATAGCTTGATGCAAAGTAGAAGCATGACCTAATTAAAGCAGTGATTTAAAAGTATTGAACTATGGGAAAGGAAAAGCCTAATACAAGGAGAAGTAACAGTTTGTATTTTGTGTTATGCTTTTCTCATACATCAAAGAAGGCAAAGAAACACTCAGTAGAACAGAAGCTTGAAAGACTTAAAATACATAATGAGTGGGAAAAAGTTGCATTGGAACAAGATTTATAAAATCAAGCTGCTTTAGGTATCTCATGTGATGACATAACACCAAGGAAATATTCCAGAATAAAACAGAGTCTGTCTACAGTTGCAGGGAATAAAATTTGCTGCTTCTAAAGCACTCATGCATAGCTAACAAAAAATAGTCTTTATTGTACTTTTTTTTGGTGTGGTAGTACAAATCTGCAAAAGCTCTTGTAGCCAAATTGCTATGTAGTAAATTAATTATCATTCAGGAGACTCAAATGCTTAATTCTGACAGGTGCATTATTGCTATTGCCTTTTAAATCACATGTGACTTCTCCATGGAAAAATTCTGTACCTTGATGTTAAAAATACTTGAAAAAATAGTCAAAAGGATCAAGGTAAAATTTTTGCAATCATATTCATCTCTGACACTCAGGAGACATAGGAAGGAGTCTGATCACTCCAAACCAGTGAAAATAGCTTGGCTTAGTTTTGGAAGTGTTTAGTTCTCTCCGTTGGCTTATATGGTGGTTTGACTTGGTCTGAATGCCAAAAAGTAACTTAATTTGGGATATATATTCTGTTGTCCACTCCTTGAACGTTTCTGTATGGTCAAATAAGCCATTATCCAAAATGGCACTTATATTGCCTTACCACTGACTCTCACAATCCAGATTTATCATAGAGCACTTCACTGAAGTTGCTGACTGAAGCCTGTAATACATAACACAAGAGGAGTAGCTATCTGTAGTTACTCTAGAAACACAGCTATAGTTAGACAGGAGTTATTCCTGCTTTATCAGTTTAATTTAGGAAGGACTCTGCCCAGTCATGCAGCTGGACCATGCTTTGAGGTTACTGTAGCTTTGCATACTAGTTCAAATTGAGCAACAATGGAGTTGTGTATTTCAGAGCCAGAAGGGTAAGAAACAAGTCAGCGTTGTGGGTTTGGGAGCTCCTGGGTTTCCAAAGCAATGGCACAAAAAGTAGGTGACAGGGAATGTGCAGCCAGAATTGTATACACAGTGGTTTGTGAAGGTTTTTTTCTGTTCATCCGTGTGGCATACTGATAATTCTTCAAGTTTGTTTAGGCAATTTGGGAAGCTCATTTGACCACTCTCTAACTAGTAACCACAAAAATAAATTGAATCGCTCATGAATATTTCTAGATAAAGTTTCACGGGGTTTATAAGTATTTTCTCTTTGAGTCTCAGGCGCTTTTTAATACTTGCTTACCATTTTTTCCTTTTTGGAGGATTGGATAGCTTTGGTCAAAGCTGCTGCTGCAGCAGCAGCCAAGAACAAAGCAGGAAGTAAACCTAGAACCAGCGCAAACAGCAATAAAGATAAAGAGGACAGAAAATGGCTAAAGGTTCCTTCAAAAAAGGAAGAAACCTCAACCTCTACAATCATGCAGGAAGTCCAAAACAAGGAAGAGGAGCCTACATCTAGTGACACATTTGGTAAAAACGCATTCTGTAAAAGACAAAATTGGTTTTTCTGTGATGTTTATGCAGAATTCCTGTTGTTAATTTTGCAGTTAAGTAATAGCTAATATTTTTAGAAGCAGGCGTCTCATTTGCTATAATTTTGTGATACATAATGTTAACTGGTTTAAAAACCCTGATCTTGTTCTAAGGAAAAAAAATTCCAGTATGCACAATATATTCAGGGATGCTTGAAACTCTTTCTGGGTTGATAAGAAGTTGTTAATTTTAATAGTCTTAAATGCTGATTTCTCATGATATTGAGTAAAAGTTACAAATTTTGAGGTAATTGCACCTAATGCTTCAGTGTGTAATGCCAGATCATCAGAATGTGTCATTTTCAATTTTAATAGACTTAAAAAGTTTCTTTACTGCAGAATTCTAATAGCAGTTCTGAAATACTTAAGTCTTTTGGGGGGTGTTTTGTGTTTATGACATGTGAGTTGATGGAGTTTCTCTTGTGTTTAGATGTAGGATTTCCTGTAGTGGATGTTCAAAAGATGGCCTTTGTGCAGGCAGAGAGCACATTATCACACAAGAGGAAAAGTAATCTAGGCAACTCATTTCAGGCAAAGAGAGCTCGACTTAACAAGATCACTGGTAAAATACTTTTTTGTTGCTAACTTTGCTTCTCTCTAATGTAATGTACTTTGTATAACTGTTCTCAAATTAACACGCTTCTGAAACTTTTACTGTAGTAGATTTTTTATTATACATTTTGAAAATGTAACTGTTGATGATCAAACTTTCTCTTGCCACGTGTTTATTTCTTATGTTTGAAATACTTCTAAAATGTCATTGGTGTCTCCAGCACAAGCTTTTAGATTTGAAGGGAAGTGGGAATCGTGCCGGTGCGTGTACCCATCAGAGTGGGTACAGAAGGACCCTAAAGCACTGTACAGTTAGGAAAACATTGATTTGACAGGTTTTTATGGCTGTATTGGGGAAATAGAGCAGATTGTGTGTTTGTAGGAGGTTGTCTGAAGGGAATTGTTTTCTGGCTTTCCATTCAACATTCATCACTTGATGTGGAAGTGTCTCCTTTTCTGCCACAAGGGCCACACTGCATCAGCTGTTATTTGCTCTCCATTCAACAAAAAAAAAGTTGCTTCATTTGCTCCTTTTTTCTTCTGCTACCACTCCTGGTGGAAATTACATTTCCCCAAGGTGAAGATAGTCTCCTGGGAAGCATTTATTAATGTCATCTTTCAGTTAGTTTTTACCTCTGTTACAATACTTGCTCCCACATCTCCTGCTGGGGCATGGTACCTGAAAGAACAGGTAACATCTGCAGTGAGCTGACAGACCAAAACATTCCTGTGTTCACTGTGCCACCCCATGCTTATGATTTATGTGCTGTGACTGCAGAGGAAGGTGAGCCTGTAGTCCTACTACTGTAGCAGCTTGTGGAGTTGCTTTGTCCTTCTCCAGGCATGGTGGTTGGTTAGAAAAGTACTTAATGGGGTAGAGAAGAAGGAAATGATAAGGGTTACATATTGACAGGTCTGGCAGAATCTAGCTTCATTTAATGACTTGAATTTCTGACCACTGAGCATCTAGCTACAAGTGTAAATCACAGAATCTTGAGAGTCAGAAAATGGTTTGGGTTTGAAAGGACCTTAAAGGTCGTCCAATTTCAACCCTCCTATCATGGGCATGGGCACCTTCCACTAGACCAGATTTCTCAAAGGCCCATCCAGCTTTGTCCTGAGCTCTGCCAGGGATGGGGCACCTACAGGTTCTCTTGCAGCCTGTGGTTTATAGAGTCACAAAAACTTCCTTACTGACTGCAATTTGTTGTTTTCTATTTAAAACTCTACTTCACTTGATTTTGAAATTTATTTTATGCTTTTTGGTTTAGTTTCATAATTGTCAAGGTAAAGAACGCTGCAAATTTTGCAACTTGTTTTAAACAGGATCATTTCAGTCACAAATATTTATTTAGGTCTGTGAAACCTAAGTCATTTATGCAGAATAAAAATCTTACCTGACAGTTTTATTTGGTTTTATATAATAGGGCAAAAAAAGTTTCTGCTTTTCAGTTAACTCAAACTGAAGTGTAACTCAATCTAACAAATAGTAAATGAAACACAGTACCTGCTGTTTATTGTTCAATGCTCAAATGAGAGTTCTCTAGCAAAATACCACACTGTTCTTTGTGCATGATTTTTGGTTTGATTTTTTTTTTTTTTGTCCTGTGCAGTTCCCAGGAGCCCAGGCATCAGTAATTTAAAATTCCTTGGGCGTTTTGCGCCTGAGATTAATTTCAGGCGTATCTAATTTTTCATGGAACACAGTATGAATTCCCTCTGAATTTGTCATGTTATTTTTGAGGATTTCAACTCTTCACCCCCAGTATTGACATTCTGAGATTGCAATAGTAATTTTTATTCAGATTTGAGTTTTTCAGGTTTTATGAGTTCTGATTTGTCTTATCGCATAGAACTTTTTTTCTCTGCATGCTTAGGCAAATAAAGTTATTGTGTGAGATACAAGTGAAACTATTGCCACATGCTTTGCTGACAAAAAGCTTTCTGATACTGTCTTGTCTTTTACAGAGTTTTTTTTGTAGTAGTGATATTGTACAGATGTTTGTGAATGAAGTGACATATTCTAATATATTTGCTCCCAATATAGTCTTATTATGAGGTAATTTGGGAGCTCCACTGCTGAGAATACTTGAAAGTTAAATCCCTTTTTCTACTCTGAGAAGTTTGCATGTGTTAGAGTAGTAGTAAAAATTCTGATGGGAATTTCTTAATGACTGGAAAGGGGAGAGAGAGAAGTTTTGTGAATAATTCTAATCTCAAAATTTACTTACAGGCTTGTTTTAATTTGATTTTCATCTTGTCGGTGGAAGTGCAAGTACCTCGTGTAAAATGAGAGCACCATCTTTGAACTTTTTGTTTTTTCTGATTTAAAGTGTTCAGCTTTGTGTGGAGCTGTTTCAGAAAGGTTTATGTAGTAGATATATGCAGTTCAAATTTCTTGTGTTGGTATCTTGCTTTGTCTTCTACACATTCTTGTTGCAAGGTGCTTCTAACTTACAATGTCTGCAACTTTTCTCCCAAGGTTTATTGGCATCCAAAGCTGTTGTTGCGGATGGTGCTGAAAAAAAGGAAGGCAACAACGAAACAGCTCCAGTCCTGGAGCAGGTATGAAATGGTAGAGTTTGATTCTTTTGCAAAGTTCCCACTGGAGTGTGCCATGGAGATGTAGTACCTACAACATTAAAATTTTCCCCTTCAGATATAACAGGGAACTGAAAAATTATCCTATGTTTACATTTCTGGCAGAGCCAGAAGTATGGAATTTAATTGTCTCTAAACACAGTGTTGACTTGAATCTCAATAATATGCTTTTGTGTTAGAAAACTAACAGAAAACAAATTAAAATGAGGTCTCCATGCAACATATGCAAGGAGACAGTGTCCCAAGGTCCAGTTTTATAGCTGGAACCGCAACTGGCTTAGGAAAAGGCCCTTCCACAAATTTAATTTGTGTTTGAAACAGGGTTTTGGACATCACATAAACTTCTTTGAAAAGAAGTTTCTTTTCTATTGTAAGAATTTGGTGTTGTAGGCTTGTATGTGTTTTATGAACTGCTCAATGAGCCATACATTTTGCAAGGGTGTGTATTTTAATAAATACAAAAAAGAAACTTTTAAATAATGTTAAGGGTCTGATTTTTAAACCTGCATATTGGCAGGACCTGGAGGCTGCCAATTTGTCTTTGGCTTGTTCCACCATGTTCAGGCATTGCTTGACTCTGAGTTGTGCATTTTCTTGCATACGAAAAGGGCTGAGTGCCTGAGCGTGGTAAAGCAAGCTAAGGATGAACAGCAGTCTTGATTCAGGACATCTTTGTTTTCCAATGATTTGAATCAGAGCCTTAATGTAGTTTTAATACAGCTTTTTTGTATGCATTTTCATTCTTCTTTAACAGCAGCATTTGAACAAAACAGCCTTGCTGCCTGCAATTCTTTAACAAGCACTTGTGTTCTTTAGCCCCAGCACACTCTATGAACAGTCCCTACCCCAAACTTGGTCTGATGTTTTGGTTGTACTGATTCTTTAGAGCTGATCTATAATTGCATTGCTCTGGTTTTTCCATTGATGCTGCATTGGATGCAAGTGTTGTCAATGGAAGCTGATTTTCTGTTTTTGATGCTGTCACTGTAAGGGCTGACGTAGCCGCTGCGGTGCCGATGCATTGACCGATATTTTGCATAAAGGTTTACAGTGTACTGACATGACATTCCATTTCTCAAATTTTTGCATATTAAAGATGCTATGATTTTCTTGCTACTGTGTGTGATATTTTCAATGTGCAAAAAACTGTGAAATGGCTTACAGCATGTTGTTTTTGGAAGAATCATTACAATGTAAATCTTGCCATGCAGAATCCCATTGCGGTGAATGGGACTTTGTGGTTTACATAGACTGTGTATGCAACAGTATAAACTGCGGTGCATATTTACTATAACCTTTTTGTTACTTCTTAGACTTAGTAACTCGGCTGTTCCTGTTTTATTGATCAGATATATAAAAAAAAAAGATGTCTCTGTCATTGTTTACATGCTAATGGTCTGAAAAACCTCATTTTTTGGAAATACTAGTTAAGGTCCTTTAAAGAGGCATCTAAAATCCCAAACTGTCCTATTCCTTTGTTTCTAATGAAAACCAGAAACCTCACAAACATTTAAGTGATTGACTCTGGGGAGGAAAACTTTGGAGCTTAAAGCTTTTTTCACTAAGTTCCTGCCCAAACTGAAATTCAGATGGCCGAGTTCTAAACCTCCCCAAAAGGTTTTCCGATAGCAAAGCTGACATTCCTTAGAGGTTTTGTCTGCTACTGCTATCAGATTGAATGGGTGAAATATCTTGTAGGTTTTTTTAATAATGTAATGCAGAACATGGTAGAAGTGTTCAGGCCAATAGCCGAAAACTGACTTTGTTGATGGAAGTTTTTGTTTATATTTATATATTTTTAGTTTACAGTTGTCTTAAACCCAAAACCTCAGACAATTAGTTGCAGATGCAGTAGTTTATTTAATTGTATTAGGGTATGTCATGTTATATTTCCTTTTGACCAAGACCTGATTAGATGAGTAACATTAATTCTATAAGGTTTTTAATGTTAATTTGTCCTGTTAAGAGGTTAAGCACCTTATCAAAATCTTAATTTAATTTTTTTAATCTTGTTTAAATAACTTTGTAATTTGAAAGTAATGGATGCTGTAGTATGTCTTTCACATCTGTGAAGATGAACAATAAAATTGTTTATTTACAAGTTACGACTCTAATTAATTTCTGGTAATACCTCTCATAACCAGCTTAGGTATACTCTACAGTTCATGGAATATTTTCTTTAAATGAATAAACTGCACTTAGTACGTGTGTAATGAGTTACTCAAGGTAGAACTGATGCCTGCTGAATGGGATGATTTGCACCGGATCTTTGCAGGACACTTCCAGCGAGCTGTTCCTGCAGCACTCAGGGGTGCCCTTGTGCAGACAGAGAATGTGCACTTGTGGGGTTTTCTTTTGCTTTTTCTGTTTTTCCTTCATTGGAACGTGGAAAGTTCCAGTGGAAAATAAAATTGCAATTTATAACAAAACTCAGTATTACCCTCAAATCACCAGAGCTGTGATGTTTTTAGTTTGCATAAAGTGGTGCACACGTCCTAGAAATACCCTCTTACTTTGTTAGCTGTGGTTTTATTAGATGGTACTCTGCTGTGTGATGCAACTGGGACAAGAAAGGGGACAGGCTTCAAAATTATGTGCAGATATTGTAGTTTGCCCTTATTAGGCAAGTTGTAACACATGCACAGTTTTAGTAACATAGAAAGAACTTCCAGTTGAAAATTTAAAATGCTAATGTCTGTCAATGCATGCTAACGGTCTAAAAATAGCACTCAGTGTGTGTTAAGAAGGATGAAAATTGATGATTTTGGAACCTGCATTATATGTTGACCTTTATTTTTTCTTCAAAAACTGTTTTAACTCTTTGCTCATTTTTTTCCCAACAGTTAACAAATATATTTAACCCTGTGGTGCTAGAAGTTGTGATTTCTTCATGTGTTTGCACAAACATATAATGTGGTGAAATCCAGACTCCCAGCACTGAAAGGGGTTGTGTGAGAGTGTGCTCAGGATTTGGAAACTTCTCATTGTTTTCAGACATTCCTTAAAGGAGCACTATCAACTTTTTCAGGTTCTCCAAAAAATGAGTTTCATGTTAAATATAATTTTCCTGAGGAACTTCATAATTTTTGTTTATTTTTTTCCCCTGTGGTCAGGGAAATCACTGTATAGGGAAAATCTTGGCAACTTTTTTTTAGAACTGCAATCCTTGAGCAAGGATTGTTTGCTCGTAGCAGTGCCAGAGTTCAGAGAGTGTCTGGACAATGGTCTTAGTCATATGAAAAACAGCAGCAGGCAGTGCTGCAAGGAGCAGGGAGTTGGACTTGGTGATCCCTATGGGTCCCTTCCAGCTTGAGATGTTCCATGAGTGTACATCACTGTTAGCTATTCTGGCTTGTAATAAATGTTCTCCAGGTTATATACTTGGAGACTGCACTGAACAGTCCTGACAACTGAAGATGGAAGAGACAAGGTGAAAAGATCTTTGTGAATTTTTAAATTGGGAATAGAGGAAAAGTGTTTTGTTTTCAGGGCTTTTGCAAGCAATTCAAACAGTGAGAGCTGAGTGTTCTGAATACTGAAATAAATTGATAGTGCTCCTTTAGAAAAGCAAAATTTAACGTGATGCATTTTAAATAGTTTTCGTTTGTACTGAAAATCATGTTGCTTTAATGTGTGTTTGAATACTAAAATTGCTTTTAAAAAGATCAAAATAGAATACAAGAACTACAGCGAAGAAACTGAAATAAAAGTATCAATTTTTTATTATTTATTCAGGAGATTTCACCTAAACCACAAAGTCAGAAAAAAAATGAAGCTGATATTAGCAGTTCTGCCAACATTCAGAAACCTGCACTGTTATCCTCAACTTTGTCTTCAGGAAAGGCTCGCAGGAAGAAATGCAAACAAGAATCTGGAGATTCTTCTGGGTGTATAAAGCCCCCTAAATCACCACTTTCCCCAGAATTAATACAAGTCGAGGATTTGACGCTGGTCTCTCAGCTTCCTTCTTCTGTGATAAATAAAACTAGTGAGCACAGACATTTTAAAAGAAATACCGTAACTGCTTATAAGAGATATACAGACATTTGCTTTGGTTGTAAATGGCTATTGCTTTTAAAAATGAATCTGCTTTAAATAAAAGGTCCAAGTGGGAGAATTAGGGGTAGCTCAGTATTTTAAAAGTCAAGTCACACAATAAGGCATTGGAATTACTCTACTGGAAGTAATACATTTAAATAATATATTGGTATTTATAGAGTCGTGGCTTTTAATGGTTGGCTTTCCCTCCAGCTTAAATCTCCACACTAGTACTAACAGTAATACAGGAAAAATCAAACCTCCCTTCTGAAAAGGGCCTGATTCATTAAAAAGAAAAGATACACCTTGGTTGTGGAGCTTTCCCTCTCTGAGAGATCTCACCATCAGCAGGCCCACGTGCTGTACCTGTTGGCTCTGGCTTTCTTCTCCTTATGTGATATTTCCTCCACATACGCTGTGAAAGAGAAGATGGGTTCAAGATCTGTGGTGGAGAAATGTAGAAAATTGTGTTTCTCTGTCTCGGGAAAATCTCATAGGTGTGCAGCTTCTTAACATGTGCAACTGATTTGCTAAGTACCCAAATATTGGTTATCAGAAAAACAGGGGAAGGTGTATGCTGCATGCTTGAATATGCCATGGTCTAGTAACCACGGTAGGGTTGGACTCCATCATCTTTGAGGTATTTTCCAACCCGGTTGATTCTATGATTCTATGCTATTTTTGTGACTATTAAAATATTTCTGTTCTTTTTTTGAGATTACATTAGGTATTGGCTTTTTTAGTGATGCTTAGTGTCAGGTTCTTTGTTGTCTGAAGAAGATTAAATGGTGAGGCCAAGGGTTAAAATAACAGCAGGTTTCAGTAAGTCAAAAACTACATTTTAGTTTTGCTTTTAGAATAGTGATTAAGGATGGAAGACTAAACCTACATTATGTGTTCCCCTTAACCTTCGTTTGATATATTCCGATTTTAGATAAGTTTCTGTTTAATCCTTGCTCACAGATAACTTTAAATGAGTGGGAAAGGGAGAGGATCAAAGTCAGCCATCTTTATTTATTCAGGACACTGGTAAAAATTGTATTTTTCCCCACAAAATATTAGCAGTCATCTATGTTGTAATAGGCTTCCATCCCTACCCCTAGAACAATGGTAAGTAGTTTTCCTGGGGCCATGTTTATATTCTGGATTAAGTTAGACTTCTCTGTAGCAATAGTTTTAAAATAGCTAATTTAAAAATTGGTTACTTAGCAGCTTAGATCTCGTTAGTGTTGTCCTTTAATCTTCGGGTTCCCGGTTTTTGCCACCTCTAATAGAAATTAAATTTTGATGCATCTTTATTTTTAAATCTGTATGTCTTTGACTAAAAACTTCTCACAAGAAGGAGAGAGCAGTGAGCGACGGTGTAATAGTGACCTAAATGTTCCCAGGCAAAATTTTGTGAAACTGGATAAAACTGGAGAAGTGTAGGGGAGTGTGGGTTTTTTGTTTTTAATGAATCAGGCCTGAATTAACCTATATCAATACTCCCCTCTTTTTGTTTGTTTTTGTTTGGTTAAGTTCTTGAGCCTTCTTACCATGCCATGCTTTGGCTGTGTGTTTGAATTACAGTTGGGGTATTGATATCAGGTTAGCAGAAGACAGGAGGTGGGATATAAAAATTAAAAATTATTTTCAATTATTTTTCCAAGTTGTATGTTAATACTCTCCATGACTTTTTAGATCTTTAACTGTGATCATTTGTTCTGTTTATTGTTAAATCCTACTGCCCCCTTCTATTATAAGTAGCCTACTCTCATGGGTTATATGGGGAGGGTTGCTTTTTGTAAGTGCACTGTTTGCCTAAAACAACAGCCTTTATCAGTGGGGTGGTAGGTGCCCTAATAATGTGTAATAAGTAAAAAACAGAATCATGTCACGAGCATAACTCTTTTGCTTCTTGTAGTCACAGTTCTGTAATTGCTTTTGCCAGTTTTGCTGTGATTACTAGCTCTGCAAATAAGAGCTACTTAAAGCACTCTCCATCTTTAGATCTCAAATACTGCGGTAAGATGATGGTGTATCTCTCTGCTTCATGAACATTGAAAGATCTCTTTTTAGGTCCATCACAGCCAGTGAATTCCCCTAGATCCTACAAACATAGCCAACGGAGAAGAAGATCACAGCGTTTAGCCACTTGCTCCTTGCCTGATGATTCTGTAGAAAAAGTTTCTTCTCTCTCTTCAGTTACTGATGGAAAAGTGTTCTCCATCAGTGGTCAAAACCAACAGTCATCAAAATTGGAGGGTAATGTATCTTAATCTAATAAAGAACTGCCCCAGAGAAATTGAATCATTAAAATTAGACCTTTCATGGCTTTCATCTAATGGGATGTTTTGACTTGCTGTAGCTAAAGCTGTTTGCTGTTCCTATGTTATGTAATGCTGCAATCCAGACTGTTGTTTGTTGGGCCCGTGTATCTTTTTTAATACGACATTTTTTCTTTTGTGTAGTACCTGATGTTGCTCATATGTCACTTGAGAAGCGTGGACCATGTCTCCCTCTTGATTTAAGCCGTAGTTCCGAAGTTACAGCACCATTTTCCACAGAATCCACTTTCCGTAATGAATACCCCAGTAAAGACAAGGAAGATATTCAGATGGTTACATATCTTTCTTCCAAAGCAGTAACTGATGGAAGAGTAGCTACAACAGCGTCAGGTAAAGAGATTCAGTATACACCCAGATAGGTTTATAGTTGTAGGGTTAAAATGTGTGTGTATTCAGTGCCACAGAAAGAGGGGATACTTTTTATTTTCCTTTCTGCACACCAAACTTGCTGCTCTTCCTGGACTCCATCCATCTGCATATTCTTTCTCTTCCACTGGCTTTGAGCTGCGCTAGCACTTCTTCTAACACGCTTTAAGGGAACTCTGAGAGTGTGGAATGAAAGCAGCATTTTTATCAAAAATATTTTACATTGTTAAAAGTTGTAAAAATAAGTTATGCAGTGTTTACTAACATACTAATACACAGTTGTGGCTTCAGCTTTAAAGCAGTGATGTTTTCAAAGACGGTGAGCATTCCTCTGCCTTGGCTTCTGTTTGCAGTGGAAATTTTGTTCTTTGCTTGCTATGAAATGTTATTTGAAAATATTTCTGAAAAATCTTCAAAAGCTGATTTAGACTTGGTCACTCTCAGAGTCAGCATGGAGCCTGGTACTGGAACTCTGTGCTGCCTCTCCCTTTGTAAGAGTTTAGTGGCTACTGTGGTTTCCATGAAACACTTGAATAGAGGTAATAAGGAGATTTGGGAAAGGATTGACATAGTGGTTCACAGGCCCTAACAGTGGGCTGTATTCTTCCAGTGTCTGTTAGGTCTGCATATACATTTTTTATAAGTAAGTCTCTTATGTGGGTATCAAACCATTTTTAGTTGGCTTCTAAGAAAGAATCTTTTCACAGGCCTTTTATTTTTTTTTATGAGAAAATTGTTCAATAAAGTAGGAGGAGGGGAAAAAAAATTCAAATTATTATACTCTGCTGGGGAAGTTTTTGATAAATGTGATTGATAGTAAGGGAGGACAATATGACCTTAAAGGATATAGTTATGGTACTTAAATTACATCTTAGTCTATTGATCTATTAATCTCTTAAACTAATTTGTCAAAATAAGGTCTGTAGAAATTTCTAATGAGCTGCCACTTGAGTATTTTTAAATATTAAAATAGTACTTAATTACTTGAGAGAAACCATGTGACAGTCTTCGTTTGCCCTTGATACAGTGCATAGCAATAGAACCAGAGATTCCTGGGAAAACTACTTCTGTAAAAGTCATTTTTATCTCCTGTCTTCAGCCACTAAGAGAAGTGCTGTGGGGAGATGTGTATTTGCCCACTCATTGAACAAGATCATAAAAGAAACCAACAGCTTCCAACTGCCATCTGTTTCTTGTTTGGTAGAACTCATTTCTGTTACTAGGAACTTTCTGATCTATTTTCTGGCTCATTTAATGTACAGTTGGCATTGCTGGAAGTTGCCTGTTCCCATCATGGGCCTGGTTTGGAGTCAGAGTAAGCTGGTTCTAAACCAGCACCCAGGAGTGTGCTCGTGCCTATTTGTTGAGCTGGGTCTTCTTCTTGGCCACAACTGAATCTAATTAAATAAGTTTCATTTGTAACCACGTTTATTCATGACTCAAAATTGTTTGACATGTCCACACAGCTTGTGTCAGGGGAAAACATTCCCTGATAAGATTATCTGGTGGTACTACATGAGTCCATAATGGGGAGATGGAAGCACTTGCAACCTGTCCTGGAGGATAGAGCTTATGCTGTATTTAAAGCTTAATGATGCTTTTGGTTTTGGATCTACATAACTTTAAGAGTTAAGCTCTAAAGGAACTGACTTGCCAGCTACCTTTTTGTCTTCTGGGTTTTTGCCTTCCAGGTGGATCTGTGTTTTGTTCCTAATTTTCATGTATTGCAGTTTTCCTCTGTGCAGTCAATGGAACTCTGCCTTGAGCTTTCATAGCTTGTCCAAATGTTGGAAGTTTTCAGAAGTTTGCAGCCCAGCATCTTCTTGAGTATAAGCTTTGTGGCCTGAAAGACTAATTAAACAGTTTGATACCTTTAATTCAGAGATTTCATAGCTGGTTTTGGAGTTGGCTGCCTATGGCAGTGCTGTCTCTGGGACTCTGTAACTGAAGTTCATATGACTTTTGGGTCATCTCAGGCTTCTAATGCTGGTGAAATTTCCTTATCCTTGTATTCTTCTTAGAAGAAAAATAAAAATGTAGCATTTAAGTACAGCTTTGAAATCTCTGGAGTTAATTTATACTGTTGAATAGTTTTATTGAGCTCTCTGCTTTAGAAGGCATCTTTTTTTGCCTTTGAAATAGCACAGATTCTCAAGTCATGTTGCTTAGCCACGTAATTACACCAAAGTCTTGCATACTTGAGGAGAATTAATAGTACTGTTCTAGTTAACCTGTTAAAACAGTGGCAAACTAATATATAAAGGGGAGGTGCCCAAAGCTTTCCTTTCTCGTTCCTGTCTGTGCTGGAAAGTATTGAGAAAAGTTAATTTGCATTATGCAGAACATCTACCTAAGTGTAATTTAATAGGTTGCATTGTGTAGCATGTGCATTGTGACTTTATACATTACAAATTGAGAACTCTGTTAAATCCAGATTAGTCTCTAATTGGGTTTTTTTGATCTGAAAGAATTATTATCCACCTACATCTGTTTGTGATATTTCTGCTGTTTAGATTTTATTGGCATGGTCTGGGCAGATCTGGTGTTCTAGGTTTTTGACAGCACTGGATTTTTGCTAAGTGTACTAAAGTCAGACCTGCTGTCTTTGTAATCATCGAACTAGATAACTGTAGATAGTTTCAGAAATGATGGAGGTAACAGAGGTATTTAGCCTGGAACAGCCTGTTGTGATCACCAGCCCTTCTGTACCAGAGCTGGATTGGTTTAGGCCCAGAGATGCAATTTTTGGTGGTGCAAGTTTTGACTTTCAATGGATCAGTTGAGTCAACTGACAAAATAATTTTGTGTTGTTAAGACGATGCATTTAAATGACTTTATTCAAAAGTTACTGACTTGGTGTTTCTCAGAAGAGAGGGACTAGATGCACTGAAGTGCAGAAGTATAAATGACAGCTCAGAGTGTTAACACATAGATATAAGAAATCATTGCTCAAACTTAACAACTTGTTAACAACTGCACAAAAGGACTGCAATCAATTCCTTCAGTCCACAGGCTCCACTGTGTGCTTCTCGTGTACGCTGTCAGTCAGTTGTTGAACAATTTTGCCAGAGCTGCTGTGAGGACCCACTTGTGATCACCTGATATTGTATACACATAAGTGAGAATCTGCTTTCATTTGCCCAGCAGCACAAAATGTAGATACCTGGCCTTTCTGGCACTTCAGTCATTCAAAGACTTTCAATCCACAGTCAGTCAGAATACCTGCAAAACACTGGTTCTGAATGTATGAAGTTCTGCTCTTCCTGTAGTTGTCATTTTCTTTAATTTTTTGATCATTTTTCTTGTTTTCTGTAACTCAGCACCATTTATGTTAGTTTAGCTGTTAAGTATTGAGGAGACAAAATTTCAGCAAGCAATCTGGGTTTTGAAATATAAGTAAAAGGAAAATATTTTAATACTTACTAATCTAGCAATATAATATATATAATACTAATATAACAATATTATCATCAGCTGTTATTTCCTGTTCTAACTCAACCTATAGATGATTTTGCTAGTAGGTATAGGTAACATTAGGTTTATTATATGGGAGAAATTTGCACTTAGAATAAAAGTGAAAAAACATTGCTTACTTTTTTGCATAATTTATTTGGTAAGAGTTTGTTCCAGCAGAAACAAGAAAGAGCTGGTGCACAAAATTTTCAGCAAATGAGATCAGTTGCTTTTTAAAAACTCTTGTCAGTGATACTGGTTTACTCTGCTTTTAAGAAGGATGAACTATAGCTCATGTTACTTTGGGGCTGTTTGTTTTACTCCAAACATCTATAACAGTTTGATTTACTCCCTGATTTGAATGTCTGCCATTCTCATCTCTGCCCTGAAGTTCCCAGTTTGGGTTGGTTAGCTGAAGGCAAGCAAAAACCTTTTTGTGGGCTTATCCTTCCTGAAGAGATCAGTTTGTGCAGGATCTGGTATTAATCTAAGACAGATAAGTAATTAAAGTGAGTTTAGATATGCACTAGGAATTCAAAACACTAAACATGACCGGCATAATTCATGTTTCTATCATAATATGATCTAAGTTGTATATTAATGCAGATAATATTTCTGATACTATTTTGAAACACTGAAAGAATATCAATCAACAAAATTAGTTGATTCAGATTAGTAGAATTTATTTGACTTTGCTGAAGTGCAGTAAGCACTACCACTGCAAGGCCATCTGTCCTGTCCTGTGCCCACATGAAGGAACTTGTGTCATTGCCCTGTGCCAGAGACCAGGAGAAGTAGCACTGGAAACATGTCATAAACTGGACTGGAAGTGCTGTAGTTTGCACTTCTTTTCAATCTGAAGTCAGTCTTGGAGTGATAAAATTGAACTTGGAACAGTGACATAATCAGTAGTTTATCAAGTCTAATCTCTAGTCATTTTCTCTCTACTGAGTGTTAACTGCAGACCTCCCACGTTCACTGTGTGGGAGGTGGCTGGCTAGACTCTGCAACAGGAATAAAATTGCAATTAAAAATAACAGTTCAAACAAAAAAGGGCAGTATTTCCATAAAAGAACTAATATTTTTCTTGCTGTATTTGTTACTTGCCCATCAGACTGTGATTGTCTGATTTTGTGGTTAGTTGTAAGGCATAGTGATTGCACAGTTGAAAAGTAGATTTTGCAAGCCTTAACAGTTTATTTAGGATTTGAGAATTTAGGGTTCCTAATCTGGAATGATTTCTGATGAAGTAGAAGCCACAAATAACATTGCAGTGTATGCAGGCATAATAGCAGTGTCTGTTTTCAGGTTACTCTAGAAAGGCAGCCTGGAGAGCTCTGTCATCAGGATGGGTATTTGTGTGACTGGAGCAGATTTCTGCCCAGTGTAAGTGTCCTCTAAAACAGTTATTTTCTTACTGGCTGATTACTTTGTCAGATGTGTTGTTTTGAAAATTATTGAGATACTGAAGTTTGTTGTGTTGTGGCTATCAGTATTGGAGCATGTTTGAATGTCAGGTCAGGATTTCTTCTCCACAATAAAGTTTAAATACTAATTCAGCTAATGTTGAGACTAATTTCCTCTTGAGGTTGGGTGGAGCATTCCCACATCTTTTCATCAAAATGGCAGTGACCTAAACAAATTATGTGCATTTGGGTGATCCTTTTGTGCTCTTTTTAGAAACCAGACAAGACGTTGATAGCATGATGATGTGGGGAAGTGTCACTTTTCCCTTTTACTGACGTGCTAAAATATACTTATTGCTCTACAGATGGCAAAGCAGTTCAGTCCTGTAACAGAGACAAATGTTAATTAGGAAACCCAAGAAAGGAATAATTCGGGTAGCATTTTGTGTTGATGATAAGCATCTCAGCAAGCTAAATGCACTTGAAACACAGACAAAGGCAAGAGCCTGAATAACAGGTCTGCCTTAAAAGGCTTATGGTCTTAGGTGAGATGGTTGATTTGAGATAGTGGAAATACTCAGGTAGCCTCAGCCATGGTCATGCAGCTCACAGTGTGTGTGGTAGGAGCACACAGAGCTGAGCAGCTGCTGCTGCCTGGATTGTGCACAGTACGGTGGTGTCTTACATCTGGGAACATCTGGTCCTTAAAAGTGCTGTGTGGTGTGGTAGGAGATGTAGCACTTTCTATTGCTCTTGCTGCCCCTGTGGCTTTCTCATTCTGTTAGTCATGTTGAATATCTTGACCACTGGCAGGTATTTTTCAGGACTTTTTTTTTTCTCCTACATGCTCATACTTCTGTTGGTCTCCTCTGAGTCACCAAAGGTAACTGGTGCCTCCAGGTGTTGACAGCTGGGATGGAAAAAACTGAACCACTTAAAACTTAGCAGAGCTGCATTTTTCTACACTGTGTCCTTGGCATGGGCCTGAAATGTCCTCAATGGCCTGATGAAGATTAGGCTTTCCTAATTACGTATAAATGGAACTTTGAAGTTCTCACATATTGATGGACACAGTAATGGAGTTTTGAATGACCTCAATAATGTTGTTATAAATAGCTTTTATTCCAATTTGATTATTTAGAGATTTCTTTGACTTACTTGATTATAAATATTAGCAGTGAAAATTATAATTTAAGTTTCATTTTGCCTTATTATTTCCTAACTTGCATCTGATAAAGATTAAAAACCAGCTAAATATTTCACTGAATGAACTTTTCTGAATTCTGCAAGATAAAAATTATGAGTATATGGTGCTGAATTCCAATAAATTATCACAGTATTTTGCATGTAATACAGATATGGATTAAATACACGACAGTGACTTATTTAAATATTATTAAAATCAATGAAAAATGCAGTCAACAGAAGTGTTTTATACATGTCACTAAAAATGTTGTACAGAAGCTTAATTCCTCTGTTAACATAATGGAGCATTGACTTAAATGATACAGTGTCAGCCTCTTTAACCATTACTCTTGTCATGGGTTTCTGTTCCAGTGAAATAAAAATGAAACAAAAAGCCTTAAAAGTGACAGAAACAGTACACGTTAAACAGTACAAGTAGTTCAAAAGTGAGTGCAAATTCCAAAATGGAGAGAGAAACCTTTTGTGGCATGCATTGTCTGTATGTAAGACTAAGACCTAGGCAGTAATTATCTGTGAAGTGTGATGGTGATATGGCCAGTATTGACATTTCAGTGGTCTGACCCATCCACTGATTTGGCTGCAATCCTTATGGGATGCCTAGTAAATCTGTCTTCCTGTTTTCAGCACCCTCGTCCCACGTACATGCCTTGCATCTGGAAATGCCTTTACCCAATACTCTAAAGTTACCCAAAGGGAATAGTAAAAAAAGGAGGTCTTCCACATCATTGAGCTCTGCTGGGACAGAGATACAGTGCTCTGCACCCATAAAGGAGAAATGTTTTGAGAGTCTGAAGGAGAAAATATTAAAGAACATGATTGAGAAGGACAAGCATTCAGAAGTTGGTAAACTACAATACCTTTTGTTTCCAGTGCATTAGTCAATAAAAGTAATTGTAAAATTGCATTAAAATAATTTTATTGTTTCTATGTTTCTTATTATTGTGTACCATTAGGATTTTTTATGGTCTAATAACTCTTACAAGAAAGTAGGTCATCAGCCAGACATTGGCCTTATGTCATATATATTCTTCAATTTGCAGGTGCAGCGAGAATGGAAAGAAAAGGAAAACTGGAAGAGAAAAGTTCCACAACATATGGTATGTAGAGAGCAATATTATTTTTAGGAAAAAAGGAAAAATTCTGTAACACTTGGTGTCTCTAAAGAGCAAATGTAGAAGCATAAAATATTTCCTGAGCCCAGCTGCACTTCTGTTTGTTTAGGTCTTAAAAACAGTTTTTATATACATGACTGCTTTATAGTAGAAGAATAATTTTATTTTATAAAATGCAAAGGCCCATAGAAAGGATTTTAAAGGATCGAAAAGTACCTATAAGAGGTCTACTGCCTCTGGTTTTTTGCTTGATTGGGGTCATTTTAGTGGAGTGGATGAAACTGGCAATTTCATTGCACTGACAGGTTTGAGGGGGGAGGAGAAAATAATTGTTACTAGCAACACATTTGACAATTCATGCAATAAAATATTAATTAAGAGGGCTTTGGTTTTATCTTGTGTTTAAAATAAAAAAAATTATTAGAGACAGGCAAGAATTCATAAGTGATGCTGCCTGTTTGGGGTTTTTTTTGTTTTTTTGTTTTTTTTCTTTTCAGGAGGTAAAAGTTGTGTTTCTCTATTCCCCAAGAAGACAATAAGACTACAATTTGCATGCAGGAAACAGTCCTTAAATACTGACTTTAAGGCTTTGTTTTTTTGTAGCAAATTAATTTAGTCATTATTTGTCTCAGTGCTGATTCCTTAAGAAATGATTATGGAGTGAAAATGTTATGGGACGTATTTTGTCTGGGGAAAATTAACAGGATAAATAGGATTTTTCTGAGTTAAAGTACTTGTCCTCATGTGTATACCAACAGTGGTTAAAAGTGAACTGCAGCGTAAAAAATGTGTCAAATTATGGTCAGAATCAGTTTCCTATGAAGATGCTGCTGTGTAGTACAAAGTGCTGACAGCATCCCCAGATTTGTGATGGTGAAATTTCCTTCCAACATCTTTCTGTAGGTCTAATATATGTTATTCGGACACTGTTATTTTTATGATTGGGAATTTTGCACTTCAGAAAGCTTTTTCTCATTCTCAAATCTTTGTATTAAACTGTAAGTAAATTAGCAGTTATAAGCCATTTAAATGATGTTATGTGTCTTGTGTGCTTTGCTGTATCTGTTTCTGCTGTGGTATCTGATTTGGTAATACTTAAAATGCTACAATATTATTTGTTGAATGAGATTCCTTTGACCCATTCTACCAGCAATTAATAAGAGATGTGCCCAAGATATCATGTAAATTAACTGAATCATTTCGATCTGACTAGGCAACTGGAACACTCAGTTTTGAATGCCATATCTAGGTTAAGCTGAATAGTACTGCTGTTTTAAACTGTTTTGATTTTTTTTTGTTTCAGGTAAAAAGAAAGAAAAAGAAAAGGAGAAAAAAGAGAAGAAGGAAAAAGATCATAAATCAAAACAGAAAAAGAAGAAGAAAAAAAAGAAGAAATCTAAACAGCATGGTAAGTTCAATTTATGTTCTTTTTAAATATGTAAAACCACTCGGTGATCTCTGGCATTAGATAGTGAAACTTGTTTCTAAACATTATGAATGTCAAATTTTAGAAATTGCAAAGAGTAAGTTTTGGTCTTAAATATGGAAAGGACACTTAGGTCTATGACCTCTTTTTTTTTTCTTATGTTTGTAGCCTGTCTCTACATGATAGACACAGGTATTTCATAGAATTTTTTCTTCCTCATAAAGATATGCTTGCTCTTTTCCTCTCTTTTAATTCTTCATTTGAAGTTCTCTATACATGTCCTACCTATTTTGTTTGAACATTAAAATTCTTGTATCTATTCTGTTGCTAAATTTCAGTCTTTGCTGTTTACATTGCAGCCCCTCCTTACCAGTTAATCCTTAACAGCTGAGCTTGGCATCTCTGTTGTAACAGCCTTGTCTGTTGCCTTGACAAATGGTGATTATGTTATGTGGATTATGTGTTTCTGTGTCCAAAACTTGTGCTATAAGATGAAAATGCTTCCAAATCATGCAGTGCTTGAGTGTGAATTGCAGTAATGTGGGTTTCGTGTACTTCACAGTCTTTATATTGGAGTAATATAGTTTTAAGCTATAAAATTTGTGTATTTTTGGGGAGTTCTTTACTTGTACTGTGAAGGCATCTGAGTATTTACAAGAAGATACTGGTAAATGTTAGGTATGTGCCCAGTATCATTCTTTGGTTTTATCTTGTTGTGATCATAATGTGGTTTGTTGCAGGTTAGGTTTTTCTTCATCTTTTTCTTTAATTCCTGTGGTCTTTCTGTCCTTCAGCTTGTCTTGAAATTTAGAAGCTTGGCAGAGGTACCATGATTGGGTTCCAGCATCTAGGGGTATATCCAATGTTTGTAAATATTAGAAGAAAATATGCCCAGTGTCCCAACAAATAGGTATTTTAAATCCAGATGCAGTAAGCAGTGTGGATAAAACTTGAGCATTTTATCCTTTGCAAATTCATCTTATGAAAATCTGGTTTTAGCAATCCAGAGTTCTGTCTGGATTTGATGGTTTTCTTTAGCTGAGGAAAAAAGAAAAATGCTTTGGCAGATTCTGACTCCAGTGTCTGACCCTGAAAAAGCCCATTGAACAATGATTTGTCAAAAGAAACAGGACTCTTTCCTGTCCCTCACTCTACTCCAGGCATGGACAGAGTGTAATGTTGTGATACATGATCCTTTTGTTTGGAATCAAATTGAGGCACCTTGAGGAAGAAGAGGAAGCAGGAACAATATTGTGTGCTCCAGATACATTTTGCACTAAGCTTGAAAACAAACAAAAAGAACCCAGACAAAACCTTTGGGTTTTGTTCTGTGTATGTGCATGATTTACTAATTAGATAAAACCCATGTGCAGAAGAGAGGTAATACCTGTTATTTATACTGCTCTGTTACAGTGAGGTTGATGGGCAATGCAGCATGAGGTAATCAACTCAGCTACTCATTGAGTTGACTCCTCTATGGTAAATACACTTGGGAAATAGTATTTTTTGATGAAGGAGAAAGTAAAGAGGAGCAGTGACTTCATGGAAGGTTGTTTAGGAGAGAAGGGTATTGTGGAACCCTTTGCAAGAAAACGAGTTACAGGTGGTAGCAGGAATTCTTCATACATTATAAAATATCATTGTTCACTTATTTGCAAAGTAATAAGTTTTAAGAGGAGTAGATGGATAGCTACTCATAATTACCAATGGAAGATGTGGTAAGACATTCCATAACGAGTCATTTGCAATCCTAAATTATTTACCCCTGCATCCCATAGTGTGCCCCACACCTGGCCTGCAACTGCCCTTAGTCCAGAAGGTGATTCAGAGAGCTGCTCTGAGTAACACTGTGATGGGTTTCACACCTGGATAATGGAGGTGATGGTGCTGCTAGGAAAGCCCTGAGAGAGGCCTGGGTGTGTTTGTTGTTTGCCTGCTCATCATCATCCTGTGGACCTCTGTATATTCTCCTAGGATGCTCCCAGGCCCATCCTGGCCACTGATGGCTCCTGGAATGGGCATGGGAGCATCCCAAGAGAATTTTCTTTGGGTTCCCTGTGCTCCTCTGTAGGTGTGCAGATGAGCTGTTACCACTTAGCCTGACAGGATAGTCTGTGGTTACTTCTAGGTGGCAATGTTGGTAGTGCTGCAAGCAGAGCTAAGGCAAAAGAGAGAGACCAGCAGCTTCTCTAAGGATAGCAGATAGTACAGGATGAATTGTGGAAATAGAAGGCTGTGGAAATAGAATGTTTGAGGAAAAATTATTTCTCTGCACGTTCAGAGGTGGGGGGGAGTTAAACTGGTTATACTTGTTTTAGTTATTAAACTTTTTATGTTTCCTACTGGAGATTTTTTAATAAAATGTTACAAAGACCTTTTGCCACTTTGTATTTACAGTTTCATCAATATTGATACCTCAGTGTTGATATTCTTTACTCCTGAACATAATGTCGCAGTATAGTCTGTACACAGTATTCTTTGGTTTTTTGCATTTGCCATGAATTTTTATTGACTTTGGTAAGAACAATTTTTCTTTTAACTTTCCAGATTATTCGGATTATGAAGACAGTTCTGTTGAATTCTTGGACAGGTGCTCCTCTCCCTTAACGCGGTCCTCGGGCAGCTCTCTGACTCTGCGCAGCATGTTCTCAGAGAAGAACACAACGTACCAGTATCCAAGAGCTATCTTGTCTGTTGACCTTAGTGGAGAAAGTAGGTTGGCTGAACAGCAGCTTTCAGTTTATAGGTTTTATTCTTTAAGAAAGAGGATTGAAAGGAAGGAATTTGGTTTATGTTTGGCATTGTAACTATAAATATGATGACTGAGTTATCCTTCGTCTATTTAAATCAAAATGCTTACACTTCTCAAGCTGTTCTGTATTGTACTTGCTTGGGTTGAGTGCTGCTACTCTGCTTCTGGGGAGAGTGCGTTAAAGGCATTTTGCAGAATTCATCATGACTCATAGAATCAGCCTGGTTGGAAGAGACCTCAAAGATCATCACGTCCAACCCTACCGTGGTTACCAGACCATGGCACTAAGTGCCACATCCAGTCTCAGCTTGAAAATCTCCAGGGATGATGAATCCACCACCTCCCTGGGCAGCCCATTCCAATGCCTGATCACTCTCTCTGTAAAAAACATCTCTTCCTAATATCCAACCTAACCCTCCCCTGGCAGAGCTTGAGTCTGTGCCCTCTTGTCCTGCTGCTGGTTGCCTGGGAGAAGAGACCAACCCCCACCTGACTCCAACCTCCTGTCAGGGAGTTGTAGAGGGTGATAAGGTCTCCCCTGAGCCTCCTCTTCTCCAGGCTAAGCAATCCCAACTCCCTTAGCCTCTCCTGGCTAAGGGATATGAAGTCTGATATAAAAACTAGCAGTGTGTTTGAGAGCAATTTTTGCTGTATGCAGGTCAAGATTTTTAGCTGCCAAACCCTCCTGTATGTCTGTGAAGTGTTGTGTCTCCACACACAATTTGTTTCACATGTATTTTTTATTTTTTACTAGACCTTTCAGATGTGGAGTTCTTGGATGATTCTTCCACAGAGAGTTTGTTACTTAGTGGTGATGAATACAACCAGGATTTTGATTCAACTAACTTCGAAGAGTCTCAGGATGAAGATGATGCTCTTAATGAAATTGTTAGGTGCATCTGTGAACTGGATGAAGAAAATGGATTTATGATTCAGGTAAAGAAATTTGGCATGTGGGGTTATATTTTCCATGTCAACATCTTGCTTGTGCAGGTGCCCTTGTGCTGTGTTGGAGACCGAAGTTATGTAAGAAGCTGTAATAAAGTGAATAATAACAAAATATTTCTTTGCTCTGCACTTGACTTGGCTCTATTTGGTGTATGCAGAACTGTTGCTCGAGGATGGAGTTTCTCTAGCAACTAGATATGTAGGACATGTTTGTAAAGAAGATTAACCTTTTACTTTATAGCCAGTTGCTCAATTTGAAATGAAGGATCTTTTCCCACATACAAACAGTTGCATCTGTCCCAAAGCCATCCTGATTGTATCAGCCCTTCTGGTTTGGTCCTTGTGCTTTGCAGTACCACTTGTAGACACCTCTCTGCTCACTGTAAATGTCCCTCAGCCATGCAGCATCTTTCTTATGCAGACACTAATATTGCCAGTACTGTGATGTGTGTCCTTCATCTTAGAATAGCACTTCACAAACTAGATATCACTCCCAGGTTTTAGAAGCTGCTGAGAATTTACGTCTTAATTTGGTATAGCTAAAAGGGAAGAAGAGTATATGATGTCTGCACAGCATTTGGGTGTTGATGGATTGCAACTGCTGCTGCTTATTTATTTGTATTCCAATAAGGGGAGACTTTCCTGTCTAGTAATGACTAATTTCAAGCCTTTTTCTCAAGGAATTGATAATGTGCAGATTAAATCACATACCAAAAACAATGAGGAAGAACTGGGTTGTCAATAACTTAAAAAAAATAGCGCTATGAACTTCCTGTTGTCTTTTTACCCCACTCAAAAACCAGGTTTGTATTCAACTATTACCGTGGCAGAGTTTTTGTTGGAAGTATGGAGCCTTTTTAGTTGAGATTTGAAGGAAAGAAGTAATGCTGTTCTGTGTTAGTGGACTTAGTCTTTTGGAAATGGAAGAGTCTTGAAAAAGGACACCAGACTGTCCCTGGGAATAGACTGAAATACAGTGCTGTGGTGGAAGAACTGAGCAGTTTGGCTGTGGTAATAGTGTGGACAGATGGAGTGGTGTAGGAATATTTGGAGAGAGAGAGAGAGGAAATCGTAGCCATAGTGGTATCACAGGAGGAAAGGTGGTGATTTCAGTGTTTTCAGTAGGCTGATGCTCAAAAGCATGTCAAAGCAAAGAGGAGGTGGGCAGTAGTAAACCAGCAGATATTTACAACACTGGCAAGCACTGAATTGAGAAAGGGAAATGTCTTTTAATGAGGTGATTTTCTGCCTGTTCCTAAAGTCCAATGACAGCCTGATTTTTATTTTTTTTTCCCTCTTCGTGTCTTATCTCACTGAGAGCAACTGGTTTGCTGTTTCTAGGCCCTCTTGCCTTACCACTTCTATCTTGCTCTCCTGTTCTTGTTTCTCCTCTTTCATTTTCTCCATTTTCTTTTTCTTTTAGATTTTCCATTGGTGCGATATTAAACACACATCTTTCTAGCGCACTGGAGAGATGCTTTGTAAATATAAATAATTAAACTGAAGAGTTTTCTACTTTTCACTGTTATGCTGTAATGTATTACATTATCTTTCTACTTTACTGTGATACTATACTCCTGTCTTATGTTTCACTACTAAATATGTAGGTGCTAAAATACTGAATGTTGTAATAGAATATTATTAAATATTACATCTACAATTTGGTTTCTTTCAGTCTGGAATTTGTGGTTGAGGTAACGTTCAAAACTGAAGCTCTTTTTTTAGCTTGATGATTTTATCTATCCAAGCACAAATTGCCCAACTGAAATAATCTTACTCAAACCAGCTATACAAGTTAAACTGCTGTTCTCTGCATTTTAACAATACAAGAAATAGCTTCTGATGTTTTGGCTCTACTTATCTCAGTTTCAGTTTTTGCTTCTGTTGTCAGTGTGAAGAATGCTTGTGTTGGCAGCACAGTGTGTGCATGGGACTGTTGGAGGACAGCATTCCAGACCAGTACATCTGTTACATCTGCAGAGATCCACCAGGTATGGGTAAACCACCTCTATCTGCAGCTTTCTGCTTGGGACTTCTGAGCAGAGATGTTGCAAATTGCTTTAGTTGTTAAAGCTTTGTCTGTTTTATGTTGTCTGTTACACTTCTTTTGGGACAAGTGATTCTAAAGTTTGGCTCTGAGCAGATACTTGTTTTCCTATTAGTAGCATCTTGGTCAACTATGCTTAATCTTAGTCATTAACTCGGCTATCATTGCTTTATGTATTGAAACTTGATTCCTCCAAAACCTTCTTGTTCAGAGATCCATTTTGCCAGTACTTGGAATCACATTTGTTCATTGAAATATTTTTTGGGGGAAAAGGACACATTGCCATAGGACACTCAAATATGCTGTGGATGCCATTTCAGATTAGCTGCAATTTCACAATGTTTGTGTTTGCTCAGAATTGTCTAAAGGTGTGGAGCTATATGTATGTATATATGCAGAATATGGAAAAATGAGGCATTTCTTATGGTAAACAGTGGTGCACAAACAGCACAGTTTGAACTTGAGGTGGTTAGGTTAAGTTTGTAATAACCAGGAGAAGTATTTCCTTTGGATATATTTGATTAGGAAGATTCTGTGACCAACCCATTTTTCTTAACAGTTGTTTGGAGAATAACTACAATTTGGAAGTAAGTTTTGTGTATTTTTTTTCTGACACTTGATGCAAATGCACATGCCTGTCTTCTGGTGAAATATCCAGCACTTTAGCTGTTTCAAAAAGGCAATGAGACTACGCCCTCAAACTTGCTTTTGTTCTGAATTTAAGAAGTGAAATCTGAAAACTGTTTGCAGTTTTTATTAGCTGGTTTTGAGAAGAAATATTAGGAAAATAGAGCTGGAAAGATGTGACTTGTTCCATTTGCCCCAATCTGAATCTGAACCTGATGCTAGAGAGTCTTGTTCGATAGTTCTGTGTGGTGTCTCTTTGAGCAGTCAAGCTTTTCCTTACTAAACCCAACTAATTTGTCTTGTCTTCTTCCCTTGCACTGTACTAGGTACTTCATTTTCCCCTGCTCTGCAGAGTCTGTGTCCCTAATTTTTATCTTCTCTCCCTTCCTAACCACTACTTCTTTTCTTTCTATGTCAGGAGAAAAAGGTCATTCTCAATGTCAGTATTTTAAAGTGTATTGGGATAATGGGCAAAAAGGAGATAGACAGGGTATTCTCCTAAAAGGTATGAAGGGCTTCCCTCAACCCATTCTTTGTTCTGTATATGATGATAGTCTGATTGGAAATTGAGTGTAAGCTATTGGTCAGTCTGTTTGGGTTCCTTGTTGTAAACAATAATATTAGTAATTAGCATTGTACATTTCTAGTTTGGGGTTGGGTGTTTTGGTTGGTTGGTTTTGGTTTCGGTTGGATTTGTTAGAGTTTTTTAATAGTTACTAAGTCATTGTAGAAACATAAGCTAAATGCTCATTCATGCTGATTGGGTTAAGACTAGATGTTACCATAGCATGGGAGACCTAATGCCCATGGACATCGATACCCTCTCCAGCAGAGTGTGGTGAAAGGCACCTCAAAGTGTAAGAACTCTGCTGTCAGATAACTTAAACATCTGCTTTTTGTGAAGCCTTTTCCTGGCTACTAATAAATAGATACTGACTTCAGTATTGAACCAAGTATTTGTCTTTTAGAAACAAGCTAGGTGGTTTGGATATATCCAAATGAAATACACTAACATTTCTCTTGGTAACTTAGGCTTTCTTTTATTTAAGAAAGTAAGCTGCAGTACTTAGATAAAGTCCCAATTTAAACTTTTTTATTGTGTTTATTTTGATAATAGCACAGTTCTTAATATCATGCAGTTTGCTTGCAAAAGTGATTAGATTCTAGTGTCATATGCCATTTAGAGAGGTTTTGAGTTTTCAGATTAATTTTTGTTTTCACAAGTGTTAAGAGGATCCTCTTAATCCACAAAAACTAGATTCTAATACATTAATAGCAAGATCTTCAGCCATCCTTTCATGGATGTTAGGAGGCACTTAGGAGAGTACAGCCTATAATTATGGCTCTCTAGTTGTAAATACGATTCTTCTGTGGCTTTGGATGGTCCTCAATTTGTTTATTGCTTACCCCAGGACAGAGGTGGAGTGCCAAATATCTTTATGACAAGGAGTGGCTGAACAATGGGCACATGTGTGGATTATCGTTTTTGAAAGAGAACTACTCTCACCTTAATGCCAAAAAGATTGTGTCAACACATCAGCTACTGGCAGACGTGTACGGTGTAACTGAAGTATTGCACGGATTGCAGCTGAAGATTGGGATATTGAAGTAAGTGTCAGTCCAGGGTTTATTGTCCAACTTTATATATTCAGGTAGCAGAGACTGCTGTTACTCCATATCCAGTATTCACTCACATTAAAGTTCATTGTTGTATCATAGTTTAAATAATTAAAGTGTGAGATGTTAAAGTACCCTCACCTTCCGTGGGAGTTAGGTGTTCAGCAGCCATGCAGATATGGTATATTGGGATTATTGCTGATTTTTTTTGTTAGTCAGTTTTGTGTTAAAAGGACACTCTTGATTTATCCTAAATTGATGAGTGGCCTGGGAATACTTGCATGTTTGATAATGGTGCTTATCAATAGCTGAGATCTGTCAGGACTGGATGCTTAATAGTTCAGAGCTGTGACTGATGTTCTCTAACTTGCTCTTTTCCCTCCCCTTCATTGCAGAAATAAGCATCACCCAGACCTTCATCTCTGGGCTTATTCAGGGATGCGAAAAGAACAAGAACAAATAACTGTTGGGGTAGAGAAAAAGTTAGTGACTTTGCAGGATGCTGTTAATCTAACTGAAAGGACGTGTCACAGTCAAAACCATAAAGAGAGACCCAGTATACCCCAGAAGATGGAGGAAACATACATCACAAGTGAGCACAGTTACCAAAAACCACAGAGTTTTAGTCAAGACTGCAAAGCAATCACTGACACTATGAGCTCAGATGATGAAGATACAAGTAGTTTTGAGGAAGATCAGGAATTTCACACAGAGAATAAAAACTGTTTACAATATTCTTTTAAAGATGATGGCATGAATGAGCAGGTAAGTATCATTGTTCATCTGGGAAGTTTCTTAGCTGGAAAACTATGTTCAATCTGATGAAACTGAAGTAGATACAAGTATTTCAAAGTGCTCATTGTTATGAGGTGACATATTCTATCACGTAAGCAGAAATCGCAAGAAGCAAAGTTGGATCACTGAAATAGTTTCAGGTGGATTATATATATTTCAGCTGGTGAATGAAATGCGAAGTATGGTTTAAGTGTTGCCTATGCTGGAAACTTTATTCTCAATCCAGTATTTTGAGGTGAAAAAAACCCCTATGCTCAAAACACAGGGTCTTGGAACAGAACTTAGGTGATTTTTGCAAGGTGTGGAAGATGGAACAGGTTTCTGGTTTTCTGTCAGTTCTGTGATCTACACGTGAAGGGTTTTTTGTTGTTTGTTAAACAGATTTTTTTTTTAATAGTGTTTATTACTGTACTATATTCTTCTTTTAATAGCAATGCTATCTAGAATTCCATCCAAGTAACGATTTCCTGACCAACTGATTTCACCTCATGTGGAACTTCTTTCAAGATTTTACTATTGCATATTTCTTGTAATTAAAAGTTTCACAGGTTTTTAGTCAGGATTATATTTTGCTATTTAAACATCTCTTTCTCATTCGTACATTAATGGTTTGACTCCATTATGTGGTGGAAAAGGTCTGAGGTTTGTTCGTGTGGTTTTAGTGAGGAGTTCTCTTTGAGCAAAAAGCAAAACAAATTTTTCTGTTTTCTATAATACCAACTGTGTGAGAATAAATGGCCCAACTCATCCTCCTTTCGAAGTACAGTTTCTGGCATGGAAGAAATGAGTAAGATACATCTTTTAGTTTTAAATGTGGCATGTAAATTGTATAGTCTGAATGGGAAAGTTTTGGCTCATTCTGGGTGTGATTTAGTACACAGTTATTCCTATGACTGTATTCAGTTTATGTAATAAGGAGATGTGCAGCAGTGTCAAACACACTTTCCTTCCAACAGGAATTTAAATTGTCATTGTAAATAGTATAAATACAGTTAGAATTAAAAGAAAATATATGTGAGCAGTGAAACAAAGCTGATGTTTCCTTCAGAGACTCTCAAGCACATATCCAAAAAGCTAGGTGCTCTCTGTTTTAAACCAGAAAAAGATGTGTTTGAGGCAGTGTCAGTGTATTCTTTCCTTTGGGACACCTTAGTTCACCTTGTCAGTGGTCAGCCTTGATATCTGAAATAAGGCTTTCTGTCTAAACATTATAGGCGTGGAAAAGCTCTCCTTGGTTTCTCCATGAATGTTTGCACCTACCTTAAAACTGGCATTGTAGGGCCACTTTACATGATCTGACTTCTCTGTAAGGTGCCTTCTTTACCTCTCCTTGTCAAAGTTTTGGTTGGGGCTTTGAATTCTCCTTTTTACCATCCCTCAGAAGCCTTGAACTTATCCTAGTCTGCAGTTCTGTTACATACCTTCTTTTCTCTTATAAACAGTGTGTAGATTGACTGTTATAAAGTCCCTTTCTGGACTATGCATCATCTTTAAAATTGTATTTAGTTTCCTTGGGTTTGCTTCTGAAAGCACAAAGCTTCCTCACCTGAACCTGCCATTCATTTCTTCTTCATGAGCTGAATCCTGTACTCTGCTTCTCCTGCCACTGCTCCCTGATTGTCTACATTGATCACTTAGCTTACAGGATGACCTGTTGTATTTTGGTGCTTTGTTTCAAGGAGCATTTACTGACTATTTGAATAAATGCAGAGGTCATTAGAAGGGAAAAATACAAGACACTTTTATGGAGTTACTTAGATGTAAGTTATTTAGCTTTGAAATTTTCTCTCGCTTATTGGAGGCATCTGAAACATGATTTTGGTTTTAGAATTATGGACTTGGGTCCTTATGCAGCAAGGGAAAAATAGCATTTTTGCAGTTTTAGAGAGGGTCTGAAAATTGTAAGGAGTAGGGCATTTCTTATTTACCTTGGAAATATCCTTTATATGATTAGTTTGAATACTGATAACACTGGGGAGGCAAACCTGATATCTTGAGAGAAGAAAGATTTTTATCTGAAAGGTGTTTCAAGGCTTTAATGACTTTTGAAATCTATCTTTGATAAATAACTCCTTTAATGAACATTGTGAGATGAACAATTTTTGTCCCCCATGACTTGCTGATAAAGCTGTCAGCAGGTCAGTGAGTTTTCTTTGGGTTTTTTTTTAAATTGATTGTAAGTCTTAAAAAAAAAAAGTTGAGCTTTTTGCTTAAGAAGTAACCTAAAATCTATCAGTCCCTATTTTCCTCTTTTCCTGTCATCCCACTCTTCCCATTCTTGACTGGAGGAAGAAATACTCCAATAACAGACTTAACATCACTTTTTTCTTATGTGATGTGGAAAGTTAGCTGAGCACTTCAGAGAAGTGTATTAATTAATACAATAAAATTAATTCCTTGCTCTGGCATTTGCCATGGACTGACAGTCTGTGAGCACACATATCCAGCATTCTAGTCCTGAAATGGAATCTTCAATAGTGAAAGAACTTGATCAGATATGAAGTCATAGTGGATATAAAGTAGAAACTGCTAATTCCCCTAATTAATAGAGTCGCTGAACATTTTAACTCATTAAATCTGGTATACTTCCTTCCAGTAGTTGAAACATCCATATAGATTAGGAGCTTGTGTCTTGTCTCTGACTTGCTGTGAAAATACCAATTGTTTCAAAGAAGTCAGTGTTCCTCAGGTACATTGTTTGCATAACTCTGCGTGTTACTGCCCTTGTAACTGTCCCCAGGCATGTTCAGTTCTGTCCCAGACCTGTGCTTGGAAGGTACGTGGGACCATAGCAGGTAGGAAGAGAAGTTTTTTGTCTTCATCAGCAAATAGAATGCCCAGTTTATTTGTGCAAAACAGTGATTGTTGACATCTTAGATACTCCTGCATTTTAGGGATTTTTCCTTTGTGGGAACAAGCCTTGGGGCTTTTCACACTTTTGGTGTCAGTAGACCCATGCAGTTCAGCACTTCCTGATTTAAGTTGTATAAATACAAAAAGGGCACAGAAGTGCAATCTATCTTACTGCATTTAACAAATTTTTTGAGCTGGTAGAGGAGGCAAGAGGTATGTATGCTCGTTTGTACGGAATTTGCATTTTGTTTGGTTTAGTCTGTTGATGTGTCATGGTACTTGGCTTTTTGAGTATGCTGTTTGTCAAGTAGACACAAGTACAGTTCTAACCTAGCACAGCTTATCATGTGACTCAGATGTTGAAATCAACACCAGCGCTTAAAGCAAAAAAAAAAAATCATCTTAAATGGCAATTTTTTTTCTTTCTGTTGCTCCTATGAAGAAGAATTCTGCTGAAGGAAACACTGTGCTTGTTTGTAATGAAAGAAAAAGCTCAGAAGAACAAGTGGACACACATCTTCAATGGCAGCTAAATCTCCTCACCCATATAGAGAATGTACAGAATGAAGTCACCAGCAGGATGGACCTGATTGAAAAAGAAGTTGATGGTAACTGCACTTCCAGATACTTATTAATTCGCTTGTAATAGCATCTCTCATAGCCAATGTATTCGAGGTGATCTGAGGCACTGAGGATGGATTTTTAAGTACTGTGTTCAAATTTGGGTCCCAAAATTATAAGCAGAGCTTGTACCCTTGATTGCCCCACCCCCTTCCATAAGTTTTCAATGCCCAGTAAAGTAGCTTAAGCACTCAGAACCCCTGAGCTCAAGTTTGTGATGTCAGGCAGATTTCAGAAAGCTTAGATGACTTGTCTAGTCTTTGTCCAGACGTGGATCATGAAGTTGATGGATTTTTCTATGCCTAGAGTGGTTGTTGCCTGATTGTTCTAGCAATTGACAATAGATAGGAAAGAAAAACAGATGTGTTCATTTTGCCTTCAACTTTGGTTTGCTATGTATTACTAAGCAACTGGTTTCGTGAAGGCAATTCAGTCTTCATGAGAAAATCTGAATGAAATTATAGCATAGGAGAATATTACAGCACAGAAGTTTACTTGCCAGTCATAGAAGTTAGGAATGAGGGGAACTCGTAGGCTGATCATAGGAGTCCTTAATTATCTTTTGACAAATAAAGTTGTCTTATTTCTATTTGCAGTTTTGCTTCCAATATTTCTGCTTTTACTGGGCAATATTTTTAGGCTAACAGGGTTAACCTTCTCCCTCTCTGGTTCTACAAGCATATAAATTCCTTGAAAACATTTTGTGAAGACTGGAAAACCATTTTGTAATCTGGCCTTGTCCACAGGAGCCTGTTAAAGTGGCAGAATCAAGCCTTGCATTGAAGGGTTGCATTTTCTGTTGCAGAGCTGTCAAAGATACAGTTGTAAACTGAAGTTGCTTTTATTTGTGTAGATGGTAAATTATGAGGGTATAATTTATCCCCAGGTACCTTTTTATAGTAACAATCAAATCAGAAGATATGTTTTGATTGTTCAAGAGAAACATGGACTTAGTTGGTGTCTCCCTAATGAAATTTTCTTCTGTGAAATAAAAACAACAGCCTCAGTGTATTTTCCCTTCTTAGGAAAGACAGTAAGAAAGAAAAGTTGAATTTTTATGGAAACTGTTTCTTGAAACTTACCCTAATCAACTTGTTCTTCTCCTGTAGTTCTAGAAAGCTGGCTTGATTTCACTGGAGAACTGGAACCACCAGACCCTCTGACAAGATTGCCTCAGCTCAAGCGACGCATCAAACAGCTCTTAATTGACATGGGGAAAGTACAGCAAATAGCAACACTTTGCTCTGTATGACAAAAGGAAGAATAAAGAAATAAAAATAGGTTCTTTACAGTGAATTTTCTTACTAGCCACAAGACTGAGGGGAAGACAGCAAAAAAAAGCTGAGCGTTGATCTGGTTCTTTGCTGAGTACATTAATAGCCTGAAGCTTTAGAGAGAGAAGAAATTTAGAGTCAGGATCTGTTATATGGAAAATATGAATATTCAATGTCCAGGCTTCAAAATGATTTACCAAGGAGTGTCAATTTCTCAGGATTTTAACACCTTAAACAAGTAAATTCCCAGATACAAGAAAGTTGAACAAACAAAAACTCTGCGGAGAGCAGTGCTACCATTTTGAAACCTTTGGCAAACATTTCTAAATTAGCAGAATTCAGCTGACTAAAAATTCAGTCCTCTTTTCTTGCTAGTGAAAGATAGACATGGAGAGATCTGTATCCTCTCTACAAGGAAAGTTTTTGGATTATCTCCTTCTCTCACCAATGTTCAGGAAAACGAGCATACTAGCTTTGATTTTTGGAAGAAATTGCCCACCATGGTCTCCTTTTTAAAATATTTTTTAAAATAGAAATCCTTAGTACAGCACCCCTAGACTCTTTAAAAAAAAAGTGGCAAATAGTGTCAGATGTGCCAAATAATATTAAAACCACTGGGATGAGAGTTTGATTCTGTCTTAGGTGAAGGTTTTTTTCAGAAGTCCTACTCAGTGCCACCAATCCATCCGAAGTTTTTTTTTAGTGTTCTAGTGCAGTATTCAGGATCCAAGGTACAATTTTTGTCCTGAGTAGCTCTGTTCTGGTGTTGGCCCTCTGAAAACTTTACCATTCTCAGCTGGGATGAGGAAAGACAAGAGCAGCAAAACTGTCTGTGGCTGTGAATATACTAAACCACTAGAGAAAATATCACAAGATACCTTATCCGAGATGTTTTTCAAAAAATCTTCCAGCTTCAGCAAATGAAATGTCACGAAACCAAAGGCAACCTGCTACTCTGTTAGCTCTTGCTGGATTTTGAGCCCAGGACTTTTCCTGTGCTTACAAGTTGCCGCTGTACCCGAGTGCTACATCCATGTCTGTATGTGTATGTATATGTGTATAGACACACATGTACATATATACATACTATACACATGTCTATCTACACATGTCTAGTTTTATTACAATAGACTATAAGAACTGGTGGTTCATGTTACCTTTTAACAAGCAGTTTCTAAAATTGAAAATAATGTATGTACAGGTTTTGAAATTTGTAAAATATGACTGTTAAAAGGAGGCTATTTAACTGAGGAGGTTAAGATACTTGAACATTTTATGCCTCACGTCTGTTTATCCGTTCTAGTTATCTGTATAAATGCATTTTAGAACCGATAGACAGTAAACTTGAATTTACCTTTTGATAAGAGTACAAGCCACTGTACATTCAAAAATTATTTAAATTTGCAAACACACTGTTCTATATGTAAGGTACTGTATGTAAAACTGTTTATTAAAACTATTCTGCATACTCTACATTTTCCACTTTTCTTCCTGATCTACATACAAATGTAAAAAAAGTGATTGTTATAATGTACAGACCATCAAAAAATCTTGGAATGCCTTCTAAGGATGCATACAATTGAAAAATGTGCCAAAGATGGATTATCTGGGAAAGACTTTGCAGCCAGTGCATTGAACTTTCGTGATAAAACCATTATTGAGAAAGAAAGCAGCATGGCTGGTTCATTGCTAAAATAAACCTACCCTGACCTTTCCTGTTTGTTTATCATATCTGAAGTGAGTTATCACTCCTGATGGCCAAAGCAAAGTGTAAACCCCTGTTACAGAGCAGTTGCTATTTAAAAAGTCTTCCCACATCAAGCTTGTAGGAGACATCACCGAGCTGCGTGGTAACATGGAACTGTGGAATGATTGGCAACTTCATAATGCAGAAAGAACATAAGAGCTGAGGAGCTGTTGACATTTTTATAGCAACTGTTAATAAATAAAATACTCTGTGTTATATAGTTGATGCTTAAATAACTGCTTCAAACAGTATGAATAGTTGAGTGACCTACTTGCTTTTGGATATGTGAGACTTTTTTATATACTATTCACTTGCTGCATATCCTTGAATGTGGTACTGTGTGTACTGTATAAGAGAAGTGTAAATCCAGATTAATTACTTTGAAACAAAGTGGAGTGTATTTACAGAATTTATGCAGCATACACCGTAGCAATATTATGCAATGTGTGTGCTTGCATGTGATGTAATATAATTGTAAATGTTACTGAAGGTGGACTGAGAGATTTCAGGGGGGAGGATGGAGGTTTTATTCTTAGTGCAGATGGAGGAATGGTATCCTGAAAAGGAAATCGTAAAGTCAAAGTTGAAGTTGCCTTTGCAGCTTTAATGTGTCTTCTGTTTGTACGTGTAATCGCCTCTTAATTTACATGAACATGTAATTTTATCCCTCAGGATCCTGCCTTGTTCAGGATGGACTGTGCTTATAAAAACAATCTGTTCAGTCTTTTTTAATCTTCATTGTGTAGTCACATATTATAAAAATTCCTGCAAGCATTCATATCTTCTAAGAAATACAATCTCAGTGTCCATATGGACTATGCTAGGATACGTTGTGTACTGCTCAAATGCTTCACAGACTTGTCTGAGTTTGCTTTCTCAAGTTGTGGTGCTGGTCTGTAACATGTGAACATTAGTTTCTGGCCCCAGTTTCTCAAGTATTCAAAGGTTTGAGATGCTTTTGAAGTTTTTTTCTTTTAAACACTTAAAAGTCAAGTGCCATAAAAATGCTAAGTGTTTTGCACAGAATGTAACCTACAGTTGATTGCTTTGCTCATGTGCCAGTCAACCCCGATGTGATCTGACTCTTACAGTACTTCTTCCTAGTTGGCCTTATTGAGAGAATCTTTTTCCTGTGGGCATCATTTTCTATCTGTCTTCCTGCTTCCTCTCAAAATAAGCCAGGGGTCTACGCACAGCCTATTTGCAGCATCATTGATCAGGGTGTGAATTGCAGTTGTGCTGTTTGCTGGAGGAGGCAGACCCTCTGAGGGAAACGTATATGGCAATGTAAGGACTGTTTGAGACGTGATCGGAAAGGTGAAGTGTTTAAATTTGCTGCTGCCTTTCGCTAAGTCTAAGTTGTTTATAGTAATAGAAGAGAACTGCTGTTGTACAGAAGCCTGTTGTGATTCCACAGAGCTAAATGGTGAACTTGTGGAGCCTTTGAGTACCCACAGCTTTTTGTCTGAGGGTGGTTGTTATTTTTTAATGGAGGCATCAGGGTGGTTCAAAGTCTGCTCCTTCCTGTGACCATACTGTAGGCATCTACTTCAGGAATCCTGTGTCTCAGCAGCAGTGATGGCAGTAGGACAGCACTATTGCTGTTGTAAATGAAGTGCAGTCTTGGTGATGTGATCTGGTATGACATGATTGGGCTGCCATGTTGCAGTGACAAAGTGGAGGTACTTCAAGTCGTATGTCAGGGAATGGGTTGGAAGATGCTTCCTGCTAACCCTTTTCTTGAGTAGCTGTAAGTTGATTAGCACCCATATTTTGGATATTCTGGCCTTAGATGCACAGATCTTTGTTCAGCCATGGAGTGATTTACGGTGGTAGAAGCATGTCGTCCTCTTTCAAATAGACAAAGAAGATGGGTTGCAATTTTCTGATAGATTTCCTGTATTTACTGGGTGGCAAAGAATTGAAACTGTTCTTCCATGGGTGCAGTCTCTATGGCTGACATCCACCTGTCTCTCTTAATTTTATCTGAGCCTTTACATGAGCTTCTCATCTGTTCATTCAGCAGCTTTCATCTGTTTGTCCTTTCATTCTTCAGCTTTCTGCTCTCTGGCTTCTGTGGTGCCTGGAGGGTTTCACTCCTCTGTTCTCGTGCCCGGTTCTTTCTAGCTGCTGTGGGAAGCAGTCATTTAGAAAAGTCTCCTCTGCTCTTCTGTCCTCAGCCTCCAGTGTGTCCTAGGTGTTGTGTATGGTTGGAGTGTGTGTATGATGATCAAACTCTTCAGCTGTTTTTGCTGCCTTCCTTAAAGTAAACTTCTACATTGTGCTAGTGGTGATCTCCCTCTTGTCCTACCTGGCTTCTACCTTGACTGGACTTGAATGAATATTACAGCAAAACCTGTCTGGCACTGTTTGGCTCAGAGCTCCTTACCGACTTGAGGCTTGGGTTGTAAAGGAGTTGTTCAAACATTACAGTACAATTATAAAAATATTCTGATATTTACAAACCACAGTATTTTTCCTTTGTAGTTGAAGGGAAACTGCAGCCATTTTTCTTCACTGAAACTTTAAAAGACACAAAACAGATCCTGAACTGAACTGGAGCTTGATGTAAAAACCAACAAGTGAAGGTGGGAAGGACACTGCAGGCAGAGGCTTCATAGCCAGAAGTGAGCAGTCAGGCTGTTTGACTGCCTTGCCCTGTTAGTAGCTCTGGAGGTGCTGATATGTGGAGGGAGTGTGTGGAATGATGCCATTCATTTGCAAACAGGATGGTTTAGAACACTGGAACTGTAGATTTTCTCTCTACTGCTTAAAAATGTTGCAGTATATGCACCTTAATTTTGGAGTGCTTATTAAACTCAGAGGCTTAATCACTTTTGAAATGCCTGTTATGATTCTTACATTTTATTAGCTGACAATTTTTTTCTGCTGTACTGATTCCGTATGGCTTTGGGTGTGTGTTTTGCAGAGGCTATTTGACATGCTTCAGTAATGGTTTTTATTCTACTTTGTCATGTCCTGGGCACTGGGTGTGAGGGTCTGTCTTTAGCAATAAATATTATACACTATGTGTATATCTGTTTATATATGGAAAACAAATACAGAGCATGTAACAATGGTGAAAATACACTGCACAGAGAGCAGATTGTGCATTTGGCAGCCATTCTGCTCCTGCCTGAACAGCTCAAATGAAAAATTGGAGACCACATGGAGAAAATGAAGTAGCGTGAAAAATCGTTCAGGACTGAATTTCGCTTTCCATACACACCAGTCCTGTGTGTAAGTGGGAGAGGAGCTAGCGTGAAAAATCGTTCAGAACTGAATTTCGCTTTCCATACACGCCAGTCCTGTGTGTAAGTGGGAGAGGAGCCAGCCTCATTCTGTGGGTTGGATAACTAAAGCTAGTTCAATTGCTGTTTGCTTCAAACAGCAACCTTCCTTTCCTTAAAACTGGCCAGAGCCTCCTCTGTTCAGCTCTAGCCATGTGC